CGGCACCAGTGGAAAGAACACGATGATCGAGATATCTTGGCGGTGGAGCCTGGAACTTTTCGGGTATTTACGAGCTCGGAATTGCCGGCAGCATGTATGTACACAGTAGGCTTTGATAGATTGTTGATAATTGTTGAAGCGCGATATTACGTGTAGAGCTACGAAACAACGAAAAAGCAAACAAACGAACGCAAAAGATGCGGCAAAAGAGTGTTGAATTAGCTATCTAAGTGCTTCTAACGCAACAAAACAAAACGAAGAGGTCTTTTGTGTGGGCGGCCTGAGTGCCAGGCACGTGAGTATGCATACACAGGTAGTCGCCTCCACAATAATTAACAAAGATCAACCAAACATAGCCTCAAAAGCTAAATAATTATTTTGATCGACGTGTGTGATAGTATTTCTCGCATGTCAGGGCAGCTCAACCCGTGGTTAACTGCGATTATTCTTGCTGCCACCGTGCCTCTGAACCATGGACGGACTGAACCATGTTCCTGGAAGAATATATCCACAGAGCTAGCTCCATAGTCAAGTGCTAAGGTCGGATGACAGCATGCACTGAAAATGGTATCACCACCGATACTTTGGCATGATCTACACAAAGCATTCCCAAAATAGATATAGTACCCATGACGGTAGGGGCCGATTCTTTTCAGCCAAACTGGGCACTGGAAATCGGCGGGTTCAGCTGGTCAGGTCGGCACCATGAAAAGTACTCCGTAGATGGCAAACCACAGTGCGATCGGAGCTCTAGCTGGGTTTGGCAAGGCGTCTAAAATCTGAAGCCTTAGGTGGGCGGTTAGTTTTTGGGGCTAGACATGTTAGCGTGAACTCCTGAGCTAAGGTCCTAAGCGAAATGAGAGATGATGCTAAATCCGTTGAGTTTCCCACACGAAAGACCATGTCCGCTGAAGATTTGATGGGCAAGGTGTACGTTAATTTTGACCAACGAGAGGAAATCAGTCATCTGTCGTGAAGAATAGGCCTGGGAGCAGTTACATATATTACTGTTATTGCGGAAATGTGGCAGTTTTCCATCCTTTTCAGTACTATTGGATCGGCAACATCTGAGGCCTGGATAGGTGTGGGGATACTGGGGCTGGCTTGCCGAACGATGAAAGGGCAAAGAGGGGGAATCTCGGCACGCACGGTTCCTTCCTTCCTTCGACACTTCGACTTCCGTGCCGTGCCCAGCGGGAGCATCCATTCCATCTATGCTGGCTACAGTCTCTACGCTCTAGGGAATGCTTGTTCAAAACGTGCCTGGATGTGACTGATTTAAATAGATTACTGGTGCTATGGACACCCTGGGCAGGGAGGAGGAGAAGGAGAAGAGCAACATGCTTTGTGCTACTTTGTAGCTATTGCAACCAACGTTTGCTTTTCTCGTAGACTAAATCTTCGGGAAGGACGGATCTAGAATTTCTAGAGCCCAGAACAAACACGTTCTGTTCTCAGAAAGGCATGTTGGAAAACAAGCGGACTGCGCTGATCACCATGAGAACAATGAGATCCCGGTCAATCATTACTCTATCGAAGATAGGACAAAGCCCTGGCTCTTCAAATCGTCGGATTCACCCCTATCTTGATTGACATCTTGCTCAACGGGAGTGGATTGGAGATCCTTTGCCCGTTCATGTAAAGTGCAGCAGCCATGAGGGATAATTTTCCGTCGTTTCGAGTTTGGTGGATTGTGGGCGACATTATGTGCTTGGTGTGGTGATCAACGCCCGACTCACACGCTATAATTATTAGTCTACTCCGGAGTAGGCATGATGACAGGGAAGTCCCTAGGAGACCAATAACCTGGGTGCATGGCAGGGAATCCTCACGCGGCGGGGTTTTTGAGGCAATCTCATTTTTCTGCAGTCCACCAGGGTCTTGTCTTCCCTTCGTTCTCGCAGGCTCAGAGAGGCCCAAATGGCAGGGTCCAACAGATAAAAAGAGAATTGTGGTTCACCGTCTATTGTTTCTGCGCATAACACACTTCAGATGCCAAATATTATAAGGTAATCTTTTCTTGGTATTCATCGCGCCCAGGCCCCTTGGGGCAAATGTTGCTGCGGCAGTGTGGAGCCCAGGTGGGCTAAAGCCCAAAGGGCCAAAACATGTCACGCAGCCCACCTGCTCTCTGGTGCAGACGGCACAGCATATAGCCGATTATTCCTCTCCTACATGAATTCATTTTTCGATTTCTCAAACGGAGAGCAAGTGACTGTTACCGAAAACCCACCTAGGAACCAAGCACCCACTCTGTCCCTATGGACTCCGCTATGGCCCAGGTACATTTGCCGTTACTGGCAAAGGCACACGAAATGGCTGCTTCAAGCTGCCTAAGGGTCGATCCAATGGATCTTGTTTCCTATCCTATAGGAGCCAATGTCAAGGCTCCATACGATGATAGTATCCAGATAGACTAATGTGGAATCATGACGAGCAAAAGTGCCAGACAATCAGCCTGTTGTTCAGTATTCAGCGTCCGCCACTATAGACCTCGGTACCAGATCACAGGCGGCTACTGACCCGACAGCCGACATCTCTGTCCCTCCTACTAGCTCTTACATGAAGATCTAACCCACGTACTCCGTAGCACCAGAACAAATGCCGTACATTTGGAGTGATCCTCGATGGCAAGCAGAGAATCCAGTCCTCTCCACATGGCAGCATTTAGACTCAGACCCGGGCTCCATCGGCATTTCGGACACTATCAGCTTTCTCGTCATTGGGCGGTTGTGCTGAGCAGACGGTACTTTGTTAAGAATCTTATGCGTGGACCAGCCTTTTAGCGTCGAACCTTTTCCCCCTTCCAGGCTACCCCTAAAACGGTTGCCAGTTGAGTTATATATCCACTTAAATGACAGTTACCCCGGCCTAGGCGGCCTCACACTCTCTTCCTCCCACACCAGGGGAGACAATGTCACCCGATTCCAGCCTGCGACCTTCGTTGATTGTAGCACTCACGCCGCTGTGTGCTCCACCATGATCGAATTCAAGGGCCGCAGTGAGTCAATATTCATCGTTACTGTGGTTTTCTTGGGGATATCCTTCATTGCCGTATGCCTACGATGTTTCGTTCGGCTGCGGCTGGTGCGCGCATTTGGGTGGGATGATGCGCTGATGGTTTTCGCTATGGTATGTACTATCGGCGCTTCTTTCAAGAGACTCTGTTAATGTTAACTTTGATTCACTATAAGGGATTAAATATTCTGTTTGCGTTGTGTGGTATTACTGGCTCATTGTACGGCATGGGCCAGAAATTCGAGCAACTGGAAGACGGCTATCTTGAAACCGCCCTTTTTGTAAGAACACCTGACTATCACGTCGAGTTCTCTCGCTTACAATTGAGAAGTGGTGGTGGCTAGGCCAAACGAGCTACGTCGTGACAGTGGTTGTCGCCAGGATTTCCATTGCGCTGGCCCTCCTCCGTCTTACTGTTTCCAGAGTACACACAATCCTCTTATGGTGTGTGGTAGGCGTGTCGATCATCGTGGGCCTCGTATTCTGGTTTATGTTAACCTTCGAGTGCAAACCGGTGTCACACTTCTGGCAACGCACCAAACCCGGACACTGCATGTCTATTGATAAACTCCTCGATATTGCCTACGTATACAGTGTCACTGCGATGATCTGCGATTTCACACTTGGATTGCTACCTATTTTCCTGGTGTGGAAATTACAAATGAGTCGCCAAACCAAAGCCGCGTTGGCGGGTATCCTGAGCTTGGGTTGCATGTAAGACGGATTGGACATAATCATTCATGCACGATCGCTTGCTAATACTCGCAATAGTGCCAGCGCAGGTGTCATCGTCCGTATTCCTTTCCTTCCCACCTACAAAGACGCCGAGTTCCTCTGTAAGTTTTGACAGTCAGCCACACTTAACAGGCTTTGTAACGCTAATGAGAGCAAAGACGCAACGACTCAGATATCTATATGGTCCAATGTCGAAGCGGGCCTCGGGATTACAGCAGGTTGCCTCGTCACCCTTCGCCCTCTCTTCCGCTGGTTGGGCGGAACCAGCTACTCTCCTACACGCAGCAAGAAAACCTCCGGAAGTATGCCGCTCTCAAGTATGAACGGTCAACATGCCTCTCGAAGCGAACATACCACAAACTCGACCAAATTCTGGCGTCCGGATCTGAACCCTGACGACACTAGGGCTATTGTGACGACTGTGCAAACAGCTCAGGGAAGCCCGCACAGCAGTCAGGAAAATCTCAATCCGAAGCCAGGCGCTTGGGACGGGGTTAATGTGCATAAGTCATTTGTTGTCACGACGGATGAGGCCTAGAAGTTGATCTTCTATGCTATTTAATCTATAATCTTGATATGTTATAGTATTTTCATTGTCCATATCGTATGTGGTATTCGCGTCATCGAACAATTACTAGAAAAGGCTATGCGCCATAGTCCATTCTCAGCTCCGGCACAACCATCTTGACTGCTTCGCATCGTGATGTCAACGATAGTAATCTATCACATGTCATGGTCCCGAACTGGATTTAACAATAGAGCAACTGAACCCTTGGCTTTCATTATTAAGGGTTAAACATCTGAATATCATTATGTTATGTGAAAAGAACCCACGAGAACTCCGTGCACATCTTGGCGTCTTCATATCTCTAGCTACCAGTGCCTATCACGAGTATTAGCTAGGCCTAAAGCCCGAGGCTGAAGCTTCGGTGACTTTCTACGTAGCACCTCAGCGCCAACTCGCTAAAGAAAGACGGCGGACTTGAGTAGCGTAGGCTAGTCGATTTGCAAAGTGGACAAAATGGTCAAGTCCTCACCATCTGAAGGATCACTCTTATCAGCATACGGAGTGAAACTCCGTAATCATTAGTAGTTAGTTGCTATCAGGATTGCCTGCTTATCGGAACCAGCGAAAGTCGGGAAAATCCAAGCTCCGTCCCGGCACGTGGCGGCGACCAATCGCGAGCAACGGGGCCTTCCGTACGTTCAATCCTCGGCGGCGAATCCCAAAATTATACTGTCGAGGTGGCTTCTTCGCGCTTTCCTCTTCGACCTGCACTTCGGAGATATACTGGTGGCTTCAAGGCTTTGGGCCCTTTATTTCCTATGGTCTATTGAAGCTTTCTTGGTTTCTCAAGTTCGCGTCGTCTGGCCCGCGTCGTGGTCATTCGAGTGTCACCATGTGAGTCGAGACACCTTCGCTGTATCGCGTGCATTGACCGGCCGCTTACTGACAAGTTGATGATGCTCAGGCCAGGACTCGTCGAAGATCCCCAGATCAAATACTCCTCTCTCCATAACCCCCTTCCCACTCAGTTGCACACTTATGTCTGGCCGTTCCTGATCATCTGGCCTGCATTCTTCGCTTTCTATCTCTCCCCTGAACGCTACGATACATACATTCAAGGTCAAGAATGGACCTTTGTGTATGCTGGCTCCATTATCACGGTCCAGTCGCTTTTGTGGCTGATGACGAATTGGAACATCGATATTCAAACACTGTTCACCACTACTAAGGCTAAATCGATCGACTCCGCTCGGCTTATCAAGGTGATTCCCGCAGCTAATGCTGGTTCGGCTGAGGTCTGCCCGTTGCTCTTCGACACTAGGGGTGGAAAGAAGACGGTCTCGTTCCTGTTTCAGAAGCGCCGCTTTCTTTACTACCCTGAACGCCGATGCTTCGCCCCCTTGTCCTACGTCCTCGACGCTGAGCCCAAGCCTGCCCTCAAGACCTTCCAGAAGACCCAAGGCTTGACCACCAAGGAAGAGGTCGAACGTATTCAGCACCACTATGGCGATAACACGTTTGATATTCCCGTGCCGGGCTTTGTGGAACTTTGGAAGGAGCACGCAGTTGCGCCTTTCTTCGTTTTCCAAATCTTCTGCGTTGGTTTGTGGATGTTGGACGAGTACTGGTACTATTCTCTGTTTACCCTCTTCATGCTTGTCATGTTTGAGAGCACGGTGGTGTGGCAGCGCCAGCGGACGCTCAATGAGTTCCGGGGAATGAGTATTAAGCCGTATGAAGTCTGGGTCTTCCGGGAGAAACAATGGCAGAAGACTACCAGTGACAAGCTCTTGCCCGGTGACTTGATGTCGGTTAACCGAACCAAGGAAGACAGTGGTGTGGCGTGTGATATCCTCTTGATCGAAGGAAGTGTTATTGTTAACGAGGCTATGCTCTCTGGTGAGAGTACACCACTTCTGAAGGAGTCCGTCCAACTGAGGCCTGGCGACGACCTGATTGAACCGGATGGATTGGACAAGAACGCATTCGTACACGGAGGAACCAAAGTCCTGCAGATTACTCATGCGAACACCACATCAGACGATATTGCCAAGTCTCACGATGGTTCCGGTATTCTTCCCACGCCCGATTCTGGCGCGCTTGGTGTTGTTGTGAAAACCGGTTTCGAAACAAGCCAGGGCAGTCTCGTGCGTACCATGATCTACTCAACCGAGCGCGTGTCTGCCAACAACGTGGAAGCCCTGCTCTTTATTCTATTCCTGCTCATTTTCGCCATTGCCGCCTCATGGTATGTTTGGCAGGAGGGTGTGGCAAAGGATCGCAAGAGGTCGAAATTGCTCCTGGATTGTGTCCTCATCATCACTAGTGTCGTACCTCCCGAACTTCCTATGGAGCTCAGCCTTGCTGTCAACACCAGTCTGGCTGCTTTGAGCAAGTTTGCTATCTTTTGCACTGAGCCTTTTCGAATTCCTTTCGCCGGCCGGGTCGATGTTGCCTGCTTTGATAAAACCGGTACTTTGACCGGGGAGGATCTTGTTGTCGACGGTGTTGCCGGTCTGACTCTTGGTCAGGCAGGCGCAAAGGTTGAGAAAGATGGTGCCCACACTGAACTCGCCAAGAGCAGCGATGTCGGACTCGATACGTCTCTGGTTCTTGCAAGCGCTCACGCACTAGTGAAGCTTGATGAGGGCGAGGTTGTTGGTGACCCTATGGAAAAGGCCACGCTGAAATGGCTTGGCTGGACACTAGGAAAGAATGACACCCTGACCGGCAAGGTTTCGGCCACTGCTTCTCGGGTTCCCGAGTCCGTCCAGGTTATAAGACGATTCCAATTCTCTTCCGCACTGAAGCGTCAGAGTACCATCGCCACGATTGTCTCCGATGACCGCAGCACACACAAGAAGGTCAAATCAACCTTTGTTGGTGTCAAGGGTGCCCCCGAAACCATTAGGTCTATGCTGATCGACACCCCGCCGAACTATGAGGAAACTTTCAAGTATTTCACTCGTAACGGCGCTCGAGTCCTTGCCCTCGCTTACAAGTATCTCTCTCACGAGGCTGAACTCACTCGCACTCGTATCAACAATTACACCAGGGAAGAGGTGGAATCCGACCTGATCTTCGCTGGTTTCCTCGTCTTGCAGTGTCCCCTGAAGGATGACGCTATCAAAGCCGTTCGTATGCTTAACGAAAGCAGCCACCGTGTCGTCATGATCACTGGTGACAATCCTCTGACAGCCGTGCACGTTGCTCGCCAAGTTGAAATTGTGGATCGTGATGTATTGATCCTTGACGCTCCCGAGCACGACACGTCAGGGACCAGACTGGTTTGGCGCAGTATCGACGACAAGCTCAATATTGATGTTGATCCTACCCAGGATCTCGATCGCCGTATCTTGGAAACCAACGATATCTGTGTCACGGGCTACGCTTTGGCCAAGTTCAAGGGCCAGAAGGCACTTCCTGACCTCCTTCGTCACACTTGGGTCTATGCTCGCGTTTCCCCCAAACAGAAGGAGGACATTCTTCTTGGTCTCAAGGATGCTGGTTATACGACTTTGATGTGCGGTGACGGAACGAACGATGTCGGCGCTCTGAAGCAAGCCCATGTCGGTGTTGCACTCCTGAATGGCTCCCCTGAGGATCTCACTAAGATTGCTGAACACTATCGGACAACGAAAATGAAGGAAATCTACGAGAAGCAGGTTTCCATGATGCAGCGCTTCAACCAGCCGGCTCCGCCCGTGCCTGTGCAAATTGCACACCTTTACCCTCCAGGTCCTAGCAACCCTCACTATCAAAAGGCCATGGAACGCGAAGCGCAGCGTAAGGGTACCACCGTCCAGCCCGCGCCGGACCAAGCAGAGGCGATTCCCACCATCACGTCTCCTGGTGCACGTGCTCTGCAGCAATCGAATTCCAACTTGACTCCTCATCAGCAGCGCCAGCAACAAGCCTCTGTGGCAGCTGCCGGGTTTGCCGATAAGCTTACTACTTCCATGATGGAACAAGAGCTGGACGAGAATGAACCCCCGACCCTCAAACTCGGCGATGCCTCTGTCGCTGCACCTTTTACCAGCAAATTGGCAAATGTCGTTGCTATTCCCAACATTTTGCGTCAGGGTCGCTGCACACTGGTCGCAACGATTCAGATGTACAAGATCCTTGCCTTGAACTGTTTGATCAGTGCCTACAGTCTGAGTGTTATCTACTTGGACGGTATCAAGTTTGGTGATGGTCAGGTGACTATCAGCGGTATGCTGATGAGTGTCTGTTTCCTGTCAATCTCTCGTGCAAAGGTAGGCGATCAAGAATCACATTAGAGATGCCTGACACTAACTATCTACTGCAGTCTGTTGAAGGTCTGTCGAAGGAGCGCCCTCAGCCAAACATCTTCAACGTGTACATCATCGGCTCCGTGCTCGGCCAGTTCGCCATCCACATTGCCACCTTGATCTACCTGTCGAACTATGTATACAGCATCGAGCCGTGAGTTCCCATCTGCTTTGGTATAGGTTCTGTAGTGTTTATAATTGACTCGGACGCAGGAGACAATCCGACGTTGATCTGGAGGGAGAGTTTGAGCCGTCGCTCCTCAACAGTGCCATCTATCTTTTGCAGCTTATCCAGCAGATTTCGACATTCTCGATCAACTACCAAGGCCGCCCCTTCAGAGAGTCCATTCGCGAGAACAAGGCTATGTACTGGGGTCTGGTTGCGGCATCGGGTGTCGCCTTTTCTTGTGCAACCGAATTCGTGCCTGAACTGAACGAGAAGCTCCGCCTGGTCCCGTTCAGCACGGAGTTCAAACTGACACTGACTGTTCTGATGATCATCGATTACGCGGGATGCTGGCTTATTGAGAATGTGCTCAAGACGCTGTTCAGCGATTTCCGGCCGAAGGATATCGCTGTACGCCGGCCTGACCAACTGAAGCGGGAGGCGGAGCGTAAGCAGAAAGAGACTGGGCAGCAGTAGGCCCATTAAAGGCAAGAGATATAGACCATGGCTGGTTAGAGTAGTTGCATTTCTTGTCTAGATATATAGGTGCTGTTGGTTGAAAGCAAGGCGTGTGAGACCTTGCTAATGTTGAAGGATGTTTATAAAGAGCAAGCTGTAAGTTTAGGTTATCTTTCTTAGAAGATAGAGGGTTTCAATGTCAAAGACAATTCTCGTGCATGCAGGATGACGGTAAAAGTAATCAATCACGGAAACGTGGGGATGATCATAATGGCCGGTGTTGATGCCTCAGGTCTACAATCTGTCGGCGGGCGGGCGATAAGCTGCGGATTAACTCCTGACGCTGGACTGGTGCTTGTCTGGCACTCTCGGCTCCCTTCCCTTCTTGGTCTTTCCCTCCCCCTCTTAAGCTCCACCCCCGGGCAAGGCTGAAGTCACAGACTCCCCTTTCATCCGCCAGTCCCCTGATCCTACGGTCTGTGACCCCTTGTGGGATTCCGATTCTCATGCTCTCTTAAATTCCAGTCATCATGCCCCGGAGGACGCTGGGTGGAGGTCGTGTTCTTGGCCCCGCGAACGCTCGTTCTCCATCGGCATTAATCCCGTCTCCGCAGCCCAACAATCCAAGACATCTCACCTTATCACCGTCCGCCAGCAGCGTTTCCCTGAATTCACAAGCCTCCGCATCGCAAGTTTCCTCCGAAGCTCAGGATCTTACGTCGCGCATTTCCCTCGAAAATGGTTCTACCTCCATTCCTGCTGCTCCGGCAGCTGCCGGAGCTCAGTTAGCCTGTCCGATCTGCAGTGAGGAGATGGTATGACCTGTCCTACACAAGTCTCTTATCGGGATCCCGTTTCAATCACTACCAGACATGCTGACAAAAGCAACAGGTGACACTGTTGCAATTGAATAGGTACCTCGCTTGACGCTCGCGATAATCTGTTTCCCTTTGTACATGCGATTAACACGATTTTCAGACACCTCGATGACGTCCACCAGAACCTGGAAGACGATCGGCAAGATGAAGTCAAGGACTGGTTCAAAACCCAGATGGATAAAGCCAAGCGATTCCAGCCACTCGCAGTCTTAAACCAAAAGCTCAAAGGCTTGGACGTGTTCGAATCTAATGAGAATATACATCCTTTTGCGGGTCCAAGTCGGCCTCCTGGGCCTCTCCCGGCGCATCCGCCTGAACCCCCGAGAGCACTCGACCCGGACGACGTTATAACGAGGGATCACTGGCAGGGTCGCACCCTTTACGATGTGTGCTTGGAACCGTCGTGTGGAAAACGACTCAATGCTACAAATGGTTGTGTCAATTGTCGCAAATGCGGAAAACTGTTTTGTGAGGATCATACTATGTATCAGATGAAGCTATCCAGGTCGGCCCAACATGAACCAGTCAGGGGACTATGGTGCAGGGTCTGTGAAACTTGCTACAAGTCGAGGGAGGGGTACAATGATCACAATGGTGAGGCCTCTCTTCTAATTGAAGGAAAAATTTTGGCATGAGATTAACTTCCTTCCAGGTCTGGTGAGAGACCGCATGAATGAGTTCAAAGCGATGAGGAAGCAGACAGTCGACAAGGACTTGCTGGAAGTTTCTCGCTTGGAGAAACGCTTGACACGACTGACGCAGCTGCTTGCAAATTTGCCTGCGGAGCAAATTCAATCGAGCACGAATAAATTGTGGTCAATCTCATGGCAGGGTGATCAGCGAAAAGCCGTTGAGCAAACCATAGTGAGTTGGCAGGATGACTCAAGTGTGTCTCGGTGTCCGTTTTGCCAGCAAGACTTTACCAGCTACACTTTCAGAAGACACCACTGCAGGACTTGCGGGCGAGTCGTATGTGGTGATCCAGCAACTGCATGTTCCACGGAGGTCCCTTTGAGCATTTCACCTCGTATGTCAGATCTGCGAAACTACCTATCTTTCGGTTTATTGATTGGACATAGTTGCAAAAACATCAGCAGAGAAGTCGCCCCACACGGGCGTGATTAACGTCGATATCAGACTCTGTAAGGAGTGCCGATCGACTTTATTTGACCGGCGAGACTTCGAAGCCGACATTATGAGGAAGCCGCCAGCTGTGCGAGCATATGAGAATCTCATTCAGTTCGAGAGAGGCATTCGGATTTTGCTCCCTAAATTTCAAAAGATACTAGGGGCCTTGCAGTATGTACTCCTTTGCTCATGAGCGCACAAGAGGATCCAGCAACCACTGACATCCACTCACTCTCACAGAGATCCTAGGCGGCCTCCATCCTCTGCGCAGATTGCAGAGGCTTCAAAGGTCCGAAAACGATTGACAGATTCGTTTGCCCAATATGACGTCGCTGCTCGCCGAGTTCGCGATATGCAGACAGACTCCCCCACCCAACAGCGACTACAGAAGGCTATATACCAACAAGCCAGCAATTTCCTCCACCTTCACATGCTCCCTCTCAAATCCTTACCCAGAGTCCTCAAGCATGCATCTCCCAACGGGGGACTGTCTAACTCCACAAGCTCCCCCGCTAGCCCTAGCCCTAGCAACGGTTCACTTGGTGGCCCTCGACGGCAGGGATCCGCTCTTGCGTCGATAAAGTACGGCAATCTTGCCGCTAGCGGCAGCAATGCCAGTCTCGCTAGTGATACCAGCAGCGCGGTTTCCGCACTGGAAGCCGAAGAGAAGTCCCTTCGGGAGCGGCTGATCGTACTGGAAGAGCAGAAGTTCTTCGTATCAGAAATGATTGCGGATGCAAACAGACGCCGCAAGTTCGATGAGGTTAGCAGTCTTGCTATGAACATCGAAGATCTCACTCGAGAGATTGATCGAGTCAACGGGATGCTGGACGGCTTGGACTTTGAGGGCGTCTACACCGGTGCTCATCAGCAAGCCTGAAGATTATGATGAAAGACCGGGATCCTTCTCTTGACATTCCATTGCTCGCTATTACCATTTTGGCTGCAACCACAATGCAGGTCCCTTCTGACAGCATTTTCCTATATATGATCTTGGCCACAGCGCGGGCGCGGCGTTTGCGGATTGGTTCAATGATGAAAGTTGCATAGCATGGGCGTTGCGTTGTATGCATATGATCGTATATACTTATGATCCCTTCAATTCCGATTAATTTGCCCCGTTACTTCCTTTAGGCTGCCTCCCGTTTGTACTATCCAACGAATTGCCCAATACCAGGAATAGCGGCATCGTCTTGGTTGTCGTAGACAATATGGCATTCGAAATCGCACAAACGGGATGCCGTAGACGACCTTCTTTCCGATTGGTATACCCACCACAGTCCCAAGGCTGAAAATATTGTGTCCATCGGATTCGTCATCCGGAATGAGGAACTTGCAATTAACATATCGTAATAAGTCAGGAAACAACAGTGGCACGAAACCAAACCATGGCAAGCAAGCGCCCCCCCAATGCCCAGGAGGAGGTCCCCGGACAATTATACTACATAAAGGCCAACCCACATAAAGCTAAAGCTAAGAGACCCCGGACCTATGACATACCAAGAACCATTTTCATCATGCATCAATACCATAGCATCGAAAAGCAGTTGCACCGTAGCAACAACAAACACGAAACCTCCTTCCTTCCTTCCTGAATAATGATGACCGAAGCTAAGTCTAGTTTCTTCTATGCAACGCCACGCGGAGAAACCGGCAACCCAAACCAACCCAACCCAGCCCAACTTTGGTGGACCCTCCCTCCCCAGCAAATCAAGCGGCTGGAGTTGCGGGAAGGAACTTAAAAAGTACCAATCCAATAGTTACCGGGCCACATCCCAACCCCCCCCCCTTCCCTTCTCTTCCCTTCCACCCCCGATCCTAGCCACCTAGCCATAATGATAATAATAATAATAATAATAATAATCAATAGTATGATGGGCAAATGCAGATTCCCACAACTCCCGGTTGTGAGTAAGAGCAGGGAATGTCACTGTTAGGTTGGTGGCCAATTTTTTCGAATCGGAGACCCAGTGGATGGTATACACGTGGCATATGTGGTTTTGTGCTACACGGATGAGGTTGCTTTTTTGGTGGAAAGTGATGGGGAGGAGAGAATCTGGAAGAAAAGGATGTGTGTGTGTGTGTCTTTATTCATAATTGTCGGATAGCCCACGGGCTTATTCTCGTATCTGTTATGTTGCTGCTTCTCTTTTGCTTCCTTATCGGACTTCTTTGCACACAGTGTGTAACCCCCAGTACTACACTTGGTCGGTAACCTGAGTGGGTACATACATGGTTTAAGTGGGCGAACGATTGGAGTGAGTGAGTGGGTTTCATTCCGACGCCTTTTCTTTGGCCCCTCGATAATAGTGCTAGACCATTAAATAATCGGCGGTAAGGCACATTGTTCTGCCTGATTGTCTCTGTCTTTGTTCGCCCTATTCGCACATTTCACTTCGTGTATTTATCTCGTCGATCAGTACACAGTGCTGTGTGCAGGTAAAAAAAAAAAAAAAAAAAAAGGCTTGTTTGTAATGAAATATGTCATAAGGTCGTGAAGCTTAGGAAACTTTTCTGCTCTGTTAACAATAACAACCAACCCGACTTAATCTCCCTTCCATTTACGGCCATCTCGAAATCTGCAATTGTGCGCGCCATCATGGCCGAAACCGAGTCCCCACCTGGCCCCAAAGACAAACTAGAGGTTGCCTTGTTCCTTGCCGCTAGCAAAGGGTATGATACCATTGTCACGCTTCTCTTAGGTACCCCTGGCGTGACTCTGGACTGCAAGGATGAACTAGGTCGGACGCCATTCTTCTGGGCCGCCGCCGAGGGCCACGACAAAGTCCTCCATTTGCTCCTGGGCACTGGCGCGGTGGACCCGAACATAAAGGACGCTAAGCGTGGCCAGTCAGCAATATGTGCCGCTGCGGAGGGCGGCCATGAGAGCGTTGTGGCTCGATTGCTTGGTGTCGGGGTGGACTGCCATGCTGCGGACTCTCAAGGGAAGACACCATTGGCATATGCGGTCGAAAGAGATAGTGCATCAATCCTGAATATACTGCTGCAAGCGGGGGCAGATCCCAATGTGAAAGATGAGGGTGGCATGATCCCGTTGTCGACTGCGGTAGAGAAAGGCAATTCTGATATTGTTGAAATGCTATTGAAGGCCGGGGCTGATCCCAATGCTGTGGCTTCGAGTGGGTGTCCGCCGTTGTTGTCGGCGGTGCAGGCTGATAATGAAGTCATCGTGCAATTACTGCTAGAAGCGAAAGCAGATCCTAATCTTAAGAGCTCGGAAGGGAAAGCGCCACTAACGTGCGCTGTCGAAGCAGGAAATGAAACCATGGTGCAATTGCTGCTGAGAGCAGGAGCCGACCCCAATGAGAAGAATCCAGAAGGACAAGCACCGTTGTCATGCGCCGTCGAAGAGGGTAATGAAATCATTGTGCAGATGCTGCTGAAGGCAAAAGCAGACCCCGACGTGAAGAATCCAGAAGGAAGAGCACCACTATCATGCGCAGTGGAGGCAGGGGACGAGGTCATCGTGCAGATTCTGCTTCGGGCTAATGCTGACCCTGATGTGAAGGACGGGGATGGGAGGCCTCCATTGTTTTGGGCAATCGAAAAGGGATCCGAGGAGGTAGTACGGTTGTTGATGGCGTCTCGAAGAGTAGACCTCAATGCAGTTGATGACGGTGGTCGTTCTGCGCTGTGGTGGGCTGCAATGTCTGGGCAATTGAATATCGTCCGGCTGCTAGTTCGGTATGGAGCAGATATGGAGCTGCAGCCTTCCTCAGGAGGAAAGTACGAGCAATGTGGCACGCCTTTGTACCAGGCTGGCCGTCGGGGCCACTTCGATGTGGTCAAGTATTTGATAAAGAAGGGAGCGAACATTAATGCTCCGGCTGGAGAACCGGGTCTGTCGCTATTGATATCACTGGTACTCTTTGACCGAACGAGAAGGGGCAGACGGATGCTCGAGCTGCTGGTCGATAGAGGAGCGGACATTAACTCACAAGACGGCTCCGGGAAGACGATCCTGGATCTTGCAGCAGCAGCCGGCGATGTCGAGCTGGCCGAGCTCGCACTAGAGCATGGAGTAATGTTAGAAGCCACCGCGAAGGACGGCATGACGGCTCTGCATCGCGCAGTACTACATCAGCACGATATCATTATGGACATGCTCCTGGATGCTGGCGCTGATGCCGAAGCACAGGATGGTAACGGGGATACACCACTACACTTTGCGGCAGCCAGTGGTCGCAGGGGTCTCTTTGAGCTATTTCTGGAGAAATCTCCCGACATCAATATTACTAACTTCTCGGGTGAAACTCCACTGCATAAAGCAGTGCAACGGGGTCGTCGAAAGATGGTGGAGTATATGCTGCATAATGGAGCGGACGTCAGCATGCGCGATGATTATCAGCGGACACCACTCCATAAGGCCGTGGGGTCGGAGAACAACGTTATGAGGTTATTGGTCAATCGGGGGGCGGATGTTCATGCCAGAGACATGTTCGGCCAGACTGCTCTTCATATGGCAGCAGAGGCCGGGCTAGCAGAGGATGTCTACTTCCTCTTGGGTCACGGAGCAGCCGGGGATCTACCAGATGATCGTGGTCGAACGGCACGGGACTTGGCTGTCAAGGCGAAGAAGAAGAATGTCATCAGGGTATTTGAACGGATGGAGTTGATGGTTGCGAAGGATTCGGAGGACTCCTCTTCTGATGTTTCGTCTGATGAATAAACACATGTAAATATGCACGAATCTGATTAGAGACCGATCTTAGGGTCCCGGTACATTTACTAATTGTCAATTCTCTGACTGAAACAGAAACAAACAAGAAGAAAATGCTGATTCCTATTCCCTATTCATACCTCACATACATACTTCATCTTCCCACCGGGTTTCTTGACCTTCCTTCGCGACTAAACCGCGGAACCTTCATTCTCCTTCACCCCATGTCTTGTACGGAGATACTCTGTGACTAACCTTGCGATGTTCCCAACCGTTCTCGCTTTCATAATGTCTCCAAGCGAAACCTCCACCTCCACCTTACGGCCCAGCCAGTGTTTTATCTGGAGGCTCATTAATGAATCTACCTCAAGGCTACTATACTGGTCTACACCCAGTTCCTCGGATAGTCCGTTATGCATGGCGATCTGCTTCCCAAGCTTCTCGATGATCAGAGCCTCGCACGAGCCGTCGATTAGGGATGTCGGGTCGTCTCTGACTGACGCGACTTTCCGCTGTAATTGCTCGTCGTCGTCACCCCCGGCGTTCGACATGTCTGTTCTTTTCGGAAGATTGGAAAATCGTGCATCCTGTTGGAGCCATGGATCGCTAGTCACAACGGCCGGGGAGAGCCCTGCGACCACTACTGCTGGGCGTCTCGAAGACGGTCCATCTTTCGCCGAGAGCAGAGCCAGCTGGAACGCCTTTAGCACATCTCCCTCTCCCATCATATGGTGGGAGACTTGGCGTGCTTTAGACAAAAGGTCCGGCTGCTGTGACATAAGACCCATTTCGTCGACGGGTCCTAGGCTGACCAATGATGCGGGTAAGCCTAGCCCTCGCCGATACTGTACAAATCCATCCAAGAACGAATTCGCAGCGGCGTAATTAGCCTGTCCTGGGTTTCCAATCATGCTTACTGCGGAGCTAAAGACAATGAAAAATTCAACTGAGTGGTCCTGCAGAGCATTGTGAAGGTTCCAAGTTCCTTGGACTTTAGTTGCCAGGCTCGTGGTCCACTCCTCGTATGACATCTTGTCAAAAAGTTGGTCCTGGATACCGTGTTAGCAATCCGCAACCTCACGACACCGCGTCAGATTTAAATAACACTTACCTTCAATATAGCTGACATTTGAATAACACCAGCAACTGGGCGTTCCGCCTGTTGGATTGTGCGCTGAACGGTGTCTGAATCTGTGACACTTCCAGCCACCATCACCACACGACATCCCTGACTCTCCAGTTCTTTAGCAAATTGTTGATCTTCTTCATGATATCCAGCTGACCGAGAAAGGAAGGTGAAGTTGCGAGCTTCATGTTCCACCATCCACCGAACCACGGCCCGGCCAATGCCTCTCAAGCCTCCAACAAGCATATACGAAGAGGTAGACGAAAAGCTAAACCCGGCCTGTGCGGGGAGCACTGGCAATTGGCTCTCATTGTCAGTCATGTCAATAAGGATTTTCCCAATGTGCTGCCCCTTTTGCATCTGTCGCATGGCATCTCCAACCTGGTTCGCTTGGAATATTGTTCGCGGAAGCCGGTATGTTGTTTCACTTATGATCTTGTTAGCCGTTTCAAAGGCCCTGTTAATGACTTGTTAGTCTATGGAAGGCGTCACAATAGTGGGACACGCATGACATACCACCTCCCTATGTCGAAATCATCATAGGCTATACTATACAAGTCAAAGCCGCAGAATGACCGACATTCCCGAAACCCATTCAGATCAAGCATGCCATGACCCAGTATGTCTCTTTTTCCGATCTCCAGCAGTTTTCCAAAAGGTGCGACGCATTTCCATGACGCCCGGAGAAGCTCTCCCGCTAGTGAATTGAGCACCAGATCGACGCCTCTTCCATTAGTCTCCCTCATGACGCCGGAGAGGAATGAAGCACTATGTGAATCGAAAATGTGCGAGCGTGGAATTCCGAACGTCTTCATCAAATACTCGACCTTTTCATCGCTACCGACTGAGGCAAATACCTGGTTCTCTGGTTATGAAAGCACTGTTTATCGGGGCTGGATGGTTTTACATACCTCGGCACCGACGCTTTGGCAGATATGCACTGCTGCCAGTCCGACTGCACCACACGCGGAATGAACCAGAACGGACTGACCCTTCTGCAATTTTCCCGTACCTAGCAGTGTGCATATAGCGGTTGTATAAGCACTGGGAATAGCTGCGGCTTCTGCTAGCGAGACACCCTTGGGAGGGTAGATCACCCAATCAGCTGGCAAGACTGCAAGGCTTCTCATCGGCTGGGGATGAAAAAAGGCCACTGAATCACCGACTTGTATTGTTGTCACCTCCGATCCCACGCGAGTGACAATACCACTCCCCTCAAAACAAAAATCCATTGTCTTCGTTCGCTCCACGATGCCCAAAGCCATCATCAGATCTTTGAAGTTGAGCGCCAAATAGCTGGCCTTGACTTCGACGTCGTGTGGACCGACTTCCTCCAAAGAAATGGGTCTCCATCCAAGTGAGCTGAAATCACCGATAGTTTGAATGTCTAATTGATAAGACCTTTGCTGGTCTGTGGAATGGAGATGGTTTGTAACCTTTGTGATGGCTGCACGACCAGTGTGGCCTACACCCCGATGCAGAATGAATTCGAAATCGCGAATCGTCTGTCCTCCGATCGGTGTACCGAGCTGTCTGTACGCTTGCATTACCACCGGATGAGCAGCCTCGTCAAACAAGTCAATCTCACAAGTGCCAACATCGACGTTCAGTTCACACCGCAATGTGCGAGTGAGCCCCAGGATCAGACAGTATCGGGGATCCTTGCATTCAATCTGCATTGAATGCGTCACCCAGAGGAGACGTTTCACCGAGGCCAACCAGCTCTGGATCTTAGTGTAAGTAGCTTGGGATATGTCATATAAGAATGGTCTGTCAAAGTCGAGTACTGCAATGACGTTTTCGGTCGGGAGATCTTCTTCAAAGGCACACCAATGTACATCATAGCCGTCGGAGGATAGGCAGCCCGCCAGGCTCTGTATCCATGCCTGGCATCTTGTCTCTGCAGTGCAGAGTAGGTTCATGGATTCTCGCGGGGTATTGACCGTTGGATTTGTTGATAGCATCAGTGCCTGCCAGTAAAATGGTGCAGGTGCATTGTAATGGAACCCATCGAGGCCAGAAAATCCTGCCTGGACTAACTCCTGCTCCCAACGCTCCACGGAAACGTGAGTCTTATCAACCTGATTGTCGCCTACGCCTAACCACGAATTCGGAAGAAGTTTCATGACAATATCAAAATGTGGAAGCTCTGAGCAAGGCTCGTACAGGAGCAATCGCCCTCCAGGCGCAAGTAAGGATCGGATGTGCACCAATGACTGACCGAGGATAGGTGTTTCATATAGGACATTGCACACAACCACTAAATCGTAACTTTCCTTTGTGAAGCCCTGATCTGTTGCACTCTTCGTAATATCCAGTCTTTTAAACTCCAGCTTTGGCACGCCTTCAAAACGCTCTTCCAGTTGTTTCACAAGCGCAGGTACAGTGTCGGTGACTGTGTATTGACTAAACAGACGATCACCGTGTTCGGTGGTCAATGCTTCCAAGATATTCACTGTTGCTGAACCTGCCCCGGCTCCAACTTCAAGGACACGTAGACCAGGATTCGCATGAGCTAGTGGACCCAGGAAACCTTTCCAATTGTATAGTTCAAGGCTCCACTCGAAAATGCCCTTGATGGTCTCTAGGAGGGAGGTATCCTCATAGACCCCCCCATTTATCAATTTTTCCGGATGCTCACTCGCATACCGCCAGGCATCATTATAGCATCGTTCAACCCTATGTTCGGGGAACTGTCCTTGCAAGGATCTGAACAAAACAGTCCGCTGCTCCCTGTCCATGCTTTTCACCGTTCCAATACCAGGGATATGGTCATACTCCCCTTGGAGTATCGTCCTGCCTATGCCGATACTGAGTTTTCTATAGCTCGCCATGTACGGAGGTAGCTCGTCATGAGGCTCCAGAGCCTCCATCATTGCAAATATGAGAAGGATCCCCGCTATAGCCAACGTCTGGGTTTTCTGTTGATCTAGGTCCACAAGTGTTGGTACTTGTTGGGTTGCCGGCATAAACCTAATGTCCGGTTTCCACTGGAGATATGTTGCAAGCTTTGATCCTTTCGATTCCAATACAGCTTCTGGTGTAGGCAATAAGCGCAGGCCCTTCATCTCCAAGACCACGTCACTAGTTGCCTCAGATACCACCTTGAAATATCCACTCAGGCTCTCTTTTGTTGGATCAGTCGTCGTCGCCTCGACTAGCATCGAGCTGCTTCCTGGGGCCAGGTAAACTCGGTCGATGTACAACGGCATGCCTGCCTTGTCAGGATAGTGCGAGACGCCTTTGTCACTGGCAATCAACATTACTTGAAGGCATTGGTCCACGATCGTTGGATGTATTGCGTAGTAACTGTCGTGGAGCTTGCGGTCATCCTCCACTCGCCCACGGGCTGCATTCCTTAGTGGACTGGCGGTGATATCTTGCAGACCTTCAAAACGGGAGCCATATTCGAGTCCCTTTTTCTCACACCTGCGATACCATCTGTACGACGAAATCTGTCGAGCAAATGGCTCAGGAATCGTGCTTGATGGAAGGGGCTGGTCCGTGCCTCCCCTCACCCTCCCGGAGCAATGCTTGGTCCATCCTTGACCGTTATAGGAACAAACCGTGAACTCATACCAGTCAGAGTCCATAGTTGCATTCATTGTGGTCTTCCGCATTGTCGTCATGATTTCAATGTCCTCTTCGTCTCGGACCAGGGCCTCCATGAACATAACTTGCTCTAGTGTAGAGATACTTGAGCCTGTTATCTGACGTATAGCTTCCGATACCAATGCTATGTATCCAACGGCTGGAAAAACAATAATGCCCATCATGCGATGGTGGTTGATCCACGGGACCTCCTCACCCTTGAGAATATTCCGCCATGCGGGCTCGAAGTCATTGGATTCCAAGCATCGCGCCCCAAGGAGTTCATGGCGTGGAAATTGGCGCAAGCGCCACTGTTTACTGATTCGAGTTTCTGCCCAGGGAATATCTTCGCGCTGCCATGGGTAGGGAGGAAGGTCGGTGAGAATTTCACCTTGATAGCCTTCATTGACAGCGAGGAGGTCGACGGGTAAATGGTTGACATAAGCTGTGCCAGCGACAGAGAGGACGCGAGAAAGGTTACTTTCGTTGCTTCTCATGGTCGCACAGTATGTGAAGCTCATGCTGATTGAACGGAGTATCTGCTGGATTGGCCCTCTAAGTGCTGAGTTCGATCCGATCTCTATCGCAACCTGATGATTGTCATGTGTGGATGAGGACAAAGCCCGGAAAGCGGTTGAGAACAGGACAGGTGATTCCAAGCTTCGGCGCCAATACGCCGCGTCAAGCTCACTAGGGCTTGCTATTAGGTTTCCAAATACCGTTGAGTACATTGGAATCATTGTATCTCGAGGGTTGACAAGGTGCGGTCGGGTAAGCTCTTCATATTTGCCACCCACTGAAGCCATGTATGCTGCGAACTGGTTAGCATGCGAGCTGACTGCATCTAAAAACTGATCCCCAAAGACCTACCAGAGTGGTACGCTCGCTCAACCGGTAGCATCTTCAGTAGGGTGTCGGGCTGTTCGTTCTGGATTCGAGTTGCTACCTGTTCCAGCTGGTCGCGTTTTCCAGCGAGGGTAACGCTATTTGGACTGTTCTCGCACGCCAATGCCACTTCATCACCCAGATATTGACCGATGCTGTCTCTGCCAAGCCCTACTGCGAGCATGCCCCCCTCTGGAGCCATGTTGGCCACAATTCCGCGAGTATAGGCCAATATAATTGCCGTATCCATGGACAAGGCGTTGGCTGCGTAAGCCGCTGCAAACTCCCCACTGGAATGACCTATGACTTTGTCCGGAGTGATTCCCCATGCTTTGAGAAGATTGACCAAACTAATCTGAATGGCGGTACACAGAGGTTGTGCTATATCGGGCCGGTTAATGTCACTCTCCGGGCCCGTTTTGATCAGCTCCTCTTCAAGATGGCACCCGCAATTGTCAGTGGAATCACAACACGATATTCAGAATAGAGGGGGCCATACCGTGCATCCTCCACATGGGTGCATTGGGCAGACTTTGCAGTACCCCATCCATGTATTCTATGTCCTTCCTAAAGGACATAAAGTTTTCCATCAACTCGCTTCCCATTCCCGCCCACTGAGCTCCCTGGCCAGGAAATGCAAATGTCACGGTCCTTGGCCCATTTCTGGTGTTATCCGCTTTGACAAATTCAATAGACTCAAGAGGAACCTCTCCACCGGTGACTGCGAATGCCCTGTGGCGAAGATGTTCTCGCTTTTCACAGAGGGTATAAGCCAAATCGTGCACTGCCTCGTGATGGCGGGAGAGGTATTTTTTTATGTCTATCGCCCGCTGATCAAGGGACTTGGGGCCACTAGCTGACAACGGCAAGAGTCGCGGGCTGTTTTTGTTTGTTTCCAATGCTGCTATTGCCTTTTGGGGCATCAACGATGCCGCTGAATCCACGATGACCTTTCTAGTGAGCCTGTGAACCCTTTCGAGTGCCTAGGGGGGACCTACATGGGCATTGGTACCGCCGACCCCGAAGCAGTTGACACTGACACGTTCTTTGCGGTCAGTTGGCCAAGGAAGAACATCAACAGGTACTGTCAATCCTGCCTCATCGAACAAAACTTCTGCGGGTAAGCAATTATACAGTGCGGCTTAAGTATGGAATCGTACTCTTTGGGTTTGGTGTTGAAAAGTTGACGTTCGGAGGGATCTGTTTGTGCTCAAGAGCAAGAACTGCTTTAATCAAGCCTGCCAGACCTGCTGCGCCCTCGGTGTGACCAATGTTTGATTTCACCTGCCAGCGAATATGTTAGCAACTAGACATTTGCAAGTCCGCTACCAACTTACACCTCCAATAATCATGGGATGGCGCCCGAAGGCATCGGCGACGGCGGTGGTTTCAACGACATCACCCACCCGCGTGGCTGTGCCGTGACATTCGACAAACGCGGTCTCTGCAAGGTTTTCGAGATGAGCTTTGCGGTAGGCCTTCCGGATCAGCGCCTCTTGTCCGGCCGATGATGGGACCGTGATGTGGTTTGTTCGGCCATCGAAATTTGTCGCAACCGCTCGTATGACTGCACGGACTGGATCTTTGTCACGGATGGCATCGTCTAGCTTTTTTATATACAAGGCGCACACTCCCTCCGCTCTGGCGTAACCGTTGGCTTCCGCATCGAATGTTTTACAGATCCCATCAGGGGACAATGCCCCAGCCTGCGACATATTGGTTGTCATTGTGGGAGTGAAAATCAGGCTGGATCCTCCAACTATCGCTGAAGGGCAGTCGCCGAGAGCAATTGCCTGACATGCCTCGTGGAGAGCCACAAGCGATGATGAGCAAGCAGTTCGACAAGTCATGCACGGGCCCTTGAGGTCGTATTCGAATGATACTCTGTTGGATGCCGCATAGTCCCCAGTCCCCACGACGTGGAGCGGGTTCAGGTTTTGGGTGTCCTTCGCTGTGAGATCTAGCCAGTCCTCCCCAAAGGTGCCTACAAAACATCCAATTTCCTTGCCTTGCCAATTGACTTGTCCGCCGCTCTCCATGCACTCCCAAACCACTTCCGATAGAATAGTCTGTTGGGGGTCTACAAACCCATGCTCGTATCGATTGTTATGGAAAAAGGAAGTATCAACTTTTCCCAGATAGTCGCCGTCAAGAAAAAAGCCGTGCTTGGCAATTACCGATTGTGTATCCACGCCAGGAGTCCCGTGGAAGGCGTCCACGTTGTATCTCCCCGCAGGAACTGGAGCGGATGCGCATCTCTTGTCAATCATGAATTGCCAAAAGTCTTCAGGGGATGAAATGCCACCAGGCAGACGTGCAGCCATTCCAACAATGGCGATGAGAGGAGGAGCCTCGTGAGTCCATTGATCTTCTGAACTCTCGTGGAATTCATGCGAGTCGACGGTTGTCCAGCCCGGAGAATTGCTAGCAGTATCGCTGGATGACATGTCGTAGAGTAAAGAAGGGAAAGTGATTCTGATGGTGCAAGATATTTGGGCTTTTTGAACTGGTTTTTGTGGCAGGGTGCATGAAGCTTTATAAAATATTTCCCACTGGGCAATCACAGAGTATTTGCTCACATTCATCGTTTTCGGTCAGTATTCAATCCCTTGCCGAGCTGGCAGGCATGACGCCTGTATGAACTCGCCATGCCCGCCAACCCACCGCTCTTTCCAAAGTATAATAACTCTGCGACCAATACAGTCTTACATAAATGACAAATAAGACATCAAGCTTAATGCTCCTCTTGGTGAATTCTGCGCCAGTGCGCGGATGCGGGTGCGTATGAGCCTGAGATGGTAATGTTTTCTATTCATTCCTCACCATTAGTATAGATAAGTGATTAGGCTTCACGTGGTATCTGGTCACTTGCCGTCGCTAAGATCATTTATCCTGAGGTTTTTCAAATTTAATCTCATCATTTACGGGCCTCTATTCAAGAGCAGAAGAAATATGGTCACTGATAACGGCGATTGACTACGTCCCACGCATCAGCTGGTCCCTTGCGCACTTCAGAACGAGTTCAGCTGCGCCCTTTCTCCTTTTTCTCCAGAATGACCGACCCAATCACTGAAGTGCCCTCTTTTTCTGCAGAATACACCGCTATTTCGAAGACAGAATTGCTATTTCAAAGCGGCAAAAAGCAACTCACACAAGAGTTGCCATCCTTCATTACTTCTTCCGACCGGTCGGTACATACCCAAAGTTTAAAGAGCCAGCGACATGATGAACATCGCACAGCGGTTGTTATCGCTGGAGTGGCACGACATGGTGAACATGGACCTCAGCATCCTAAGAATTTATCTATACTTATCGGCGGCTTTCATCGTCTTCATTGTCGGACTTGCTTTCTATCGACTCTACCTCAGCCCTTTAGCTAAATTCCCTGGACCTCGATTGGCCGCCGCGACGAGGCTCTATGAAACTTACTATGATGTTATTCGTGATGGTCAATTTTCCTGGCAAATCGAGCGTCTGCATCAGATATATGGTCCGATTGTGCGCATCAAGCCTTGGGAACTTCACGTAAAAGATCCGGACAACTACAACACGCTGTACGCGGGAGTGACGCGAAAGCGAGACAAGGACAGCTGGTTCTCGTTTGCGGGATGGCCTAATTCAATTTTCTCAACCAATGGACACGCGTTGCATCGCTCCCGACGAAGCGTGTTGGCACAGTTTTTCAGAAGGCAGGCAATCCTTGATGCGGAACCGCTTATTCGGCAGAACATCCAGGCTTTGTGTCGTCATTTTCGCAAAGCGCAAGAGAGGTACGATAGTTTAGAGCTTTATACTGCGTTTTCTTGTTTTACGAGTGATACTATATCGCAATATGCGTTTGGGAAACAGAATGGTTTTCACTATTTGGGTAAAGCCGAGCTGGATGTGGCTTGCAAATCAAAGGCGCACTCTATTTTTGAGCTGTCTCAAAAGACAAGACAGTTCCCCTGGCTTTTCAAGCTGGTGCACGTCTTCCCTTGGCCAGCATCACTTATAGATGCCGATTTTGCTGCGGTTTATGCCCAGGAAATGGTAAGTAGCTTTCGGGTGGGTATTTGAGATTCTAAAGCTAATGAAACTCCAGGAAGTTCAAAGTATGGTTCGCAAGGCCATACTGGAACGTGGTACGGGATGCAGCGAGAAGCCCAAGCCAATCTATCCTGCAATTCTAATTAACGAGAAAGTACCTGAGGATGAGAAAAGGCTCGCCCGCCTGACTGATGATGCGATCTTCATGGTACAAGCCGGTACCGATGCGCCAGGGAGAGCATTGGTTTTGACTTTATATTACATCCTGCGAGATCCAGATGTGCATAAGAAGCTTCGCTCTGAGTTATGTGCTTCTTGGCCAGATGTGACAATTGAGCCAGGACTTATAGCAATGGAACAGTTGCCTTATTTTGTATGGCTCTCTCCAAGGAACGATGCAACTTCGAGGAGCGCAACGACTAACCCAGCATCAGACAGCCGTGTTGAAGGAAGGACTTCGATTATCCTCTCTTGTCAGCACACGTCTTCCACGTGTCGCACCGGATGAGGAATTGTATTTCCATGGATACGAAATCCCACGCGGAGTAAGCCACGATTTCCTCTCCCCTCCAGTGCTCTAATCATAGCTAAATGGTTATGTTAGGTTCCCGTGAGCATGACCACCTTTTTTATTCTTCGTGATCCAATTCTTTTTCCCGAGCCGTTACAATTTATCCCCGAGCGCTGGCTTCTGGAGCCACAGGACTTACGAAAGTTGGAGCGGTACCTAGTTCCATTTTCCAAAGGAACTTTGGGATGTGTAGGCCAAAGGTAAGTTGCCGCCGGAAGGCAATCTACAGAGGCGGAATGAAGCTAACAAAGCGCAGTATGGCTTGTGCATGGCTGTATATGGTGCTTGGAACACTCCTGCGAAGGTTCGAGATGAGACTTTGTGATACGGCGGAGTGGAACGTAACCCCAGTCAGGGATAAATTTCTCTGGCAGACGGAGCCTGGAAAAAATCGGGTTCAAATCAAGGTGTTGAGGGAGTATTCGTAGAGAATATTGGGGCCCATTCATTGCATGCGAGTTAAGGCCTTTAACAGTATGGTATCGTATAATTGTTGTCCATCTAGTGTATATACTGAATAATAGACAGGGCGAGCCATGCAATAAAGGCTATTCGACTCACGGTTTCGATATTAGGTCGAGAATTAGATAATCGATAACAGGATTGACAGATAGGTCTGCATATGTTTCCAACCTGTAGCCCCGCTCTTCCATTAGGGCATGCTACTGTTGAAGTTATAGTTGTACGACGACGTCCAATCCGAAATTTCGTAAGGTTTATTGGTCATGTCTAATCAAGCGAGGTCTGGACTGTCTTCTATTAAACTGCACATGGTAGGTGGGCACCTCATTTCTGGTTTGGCAAGATAGTAGGTAGCATAAGCTGGCAGGCGTAAAATGCCTTCTCGTATGTTCCCAAGCCGCCACTACCAACAAATCCGATTCCCAGCTCTATGCACACCACAGCCAGCTCGAACAAAAAGACTAGATATGGATCTTTCCATATAGTTACTTACTGCTGAGATACCTAACCGAGTATATCCAAAGTGAAAAAAGTACAGGAGTAAAAAAGAAAGCCCAACGCGGGGCTCGAACCCGCAGCCTTGAGATTAAGAGTCTCACGCTCTACCGATTGAGCTAGCCGGGCCAGTTCGGTGAATGATTGTTATGTAGTTTGCTACATATTCCTTAGATTAAAGACCAAGTAGGCAAAAGAATTTCTCCGTGTGCCAATTGAAGTAGTAGCCGCAAGCTTGGGCCTGCCACCTATCTTGTAACGACTGATAGTAGTAGTATGTGTATCTCCAACTATCTTGACACATAATAAGGCTTCTCACTAATGGTATTAACATGAACTTATGATGCTAGTAGTATGATGGCTGTAGATGACGTGATCGGCGAACAGCTGGCTTGCAGTGCATGTCAATACTCCTGAAATAAATATCAAGTGCTGGTGATCTGAGACCTCAGTTATCCTATGTCGTATCTTGTGACGTACCAGACTATGAGTGCTGAGTACATACTTTTAAAGAGATTATTCATTGAAAAGACGAGAAGAAATAAGCCAATGTGTAAGGAAGTAAGTCCTTATAAGGGTGGTTATTCACCTTTCTCCCGGGGTATCATTCATAGCGCCAAGATTACCGGAAATCTGATGTTACACGCTCACACCACTTCTCCAATCCTACCGCATTGCCCTCATCGCCCTTGCTCATTTCCTCAATCAGATCCTCCCGGGGACAGGGATGCCACCGGCCAAACGGAATAATATACCTGCCGCTATCCGCAGCCGTGACCTCTGAACTACAACCCGCCCAGAGCAGCGAGTTGGCACCCTCCCGAGCCGTGTAGAAGATGGGCTTGCACATCCACACCACCAGCTTGGGCGCGTCGTCGTAAATGCCGGTGTACGCGTTGGCCGGGTTGACCGTCACGCTAACCACAGCCTTTTCTTCTTTGCCGGCTGCAGCAGCGAACTTCTTGGCAAACCGATCCGCCAGGAACCAGTTGCCCGTTTTACTGATCGCGTAGTTGCGGTACACGTTGCTTGAAGGGTTATCGAGTTCCTTGGCGGGCACGCCGCCGCGCGGCGCCAGGGTTTCGACGATCATGCTGCTCGACCAGATCACCCGCACGCTATCCGGGGGTGCATGGGCGGCGGTACGGGTGAGGACATCTGACAGCAGAGTGGTGAGGAGGTAGGGCGCCGCACAGTTGATACCGAGCTGCGGCTCGAGGTTCTGGGCGGTGCGCTGCGTCAGGGGCTGCAATGCGACACCGGCGTTGTTGAAGAGAAGATCGAGACGTGATTCACGCTCTAGAAATTGGGTCACAAAGGGACCAATGGTGGTGAGGTCTGAGAGATCAAGGGGCAGAAAGATCAGTTTGCCGGAAGCAGTGGGGTCTTCTGCTGTGAGGGCTTGGATGGTGACCTGGGCTTTTTGTTCGTTACGGGCGGCGATGTAGACAGTGGCGCCGGCGGAGTACAGAATGCGTGCCAATTCCAGGCCGATGCCGGCGGTGCTGCCGGTGATGATCACCACGCGATTGGATTGCGGAGGGAGATTGGCAGAAGTCAGGGTCGGTTTGGCAGGGAAGGTTTGCGGCCAGACGCGGCGCAAGAGATTGAGGACCATGGTGTTTATCCGAAGAGAGGAAAGAAGGCAAGCAGAGATGAGGAGGTGCGATGTTTTTGGGGAGAGAAGTGACGGGTTTGAGGACATAAATAAGAAATAAAACCCCTGACTAGCTACACTAATACTAATGGCTTAGTTTTAGTTCTTATAGTCATGACCTGCGCATCACTGGTGGGTGGTTAGTCGTTTTACATGATATATCCCGCAATTCGTGTAATATACACCTAGGGTAATCATAACTTGTAGGTTACACTCAGTTATAGCCCCCGAACGAAATACCTACATACATTACATACAGATCTTTGCTATCGTACATCCATCCATCAGCCTCTTTCCCCAACAGTGGCATCCGCATTCTCTAGCAACCGACTCAAAATTCTCTCACACAGGGCACTTAGTGTCTTGGCCCCGACCACCTCCAACTCCTGCCGCAGCCAGTTCCGAAAGTCCACCGCCGCCAGCGAGTCTAGTCCGTACACTGACAGCGGCTTCGCCGCCTCCATCGGCTCCGCCAGCCCTAAACTGTGCATGAAGTGCCGATTGACCACCTCGATTGTGGCCGCCAGTTGCTCTGATCGATCCGCTGTCGACGTCTGCAGCAGCATGAGCAGCGTCTGCATCTCCTGCGACAAACCGCCGTGCTTCCCCGCCGCCGTCGCCGCACTCCCTTACATTCGCCGCTAGTGCCCGAACCGCGCATCGCGCAACAGCATTGCGCCCTCCGGCTGGGGAAAAGGGATGCCTGTGATGATCTGAGCCGTGGCTGCCGGGTTTCCCCTCGCTTGCACGTTATGCTGATCTAGAATCGACGCCCGCAGAATCCGATGCAAGAGTTCCTCATTGATCGGCGTCCAGATGTTGATGTCCAACCGGGTGGCAATCTCCTGGCGCTCGCTGATGTAGCCGACGTCCTCAATAACGCCTAGATCCACAGCGCAAGCTGCCAGCCCACGATCACGCCGGTACGTGGCGAAAGCGTCCTGGAACGCCCCGGCCGCCGCGTAGTTGGCCTGGCCCTTCTGGCCCACCAGTCCGGAAATGCTGGAAAGGAGAGTGAAGAAGTCCAGGTCAACGCCGCGCTGCTCCTGGGCGACCGCGTGAAGATTCCACGTGCCGGAAACCTTGCAGGGGAGGACGTCGCGGAAGCCGTCGACTGTCATGGAGGTGTAGATCTTGTCCTATATGGAGTACAGTGGTTAATATAGTGGACGTTGGGTGGAAGGGGGGCAAAAGGCTGTGAGATAAAGAGCCCAGTCATTTGCAAATAGCTATGTCCATACCTTCAAAACCATTGCACCCTGAATGATCCCTCTCACTGGTTTCACGGCTTGTCGGAACGCACGCCGCACATCCTTGAGGCACGAGACGTCGCCCTGCACCAGCTCGACGCGAGTTCCCAGGGAGATGAGGTCGCGTATTACGCTGCGTGACCGTGAATCCTCGAAGCCACTGCGGGACATCACAGCAAGGTGCTTGGCTCCGTGGCAGGCGAGGTAGACGGCCAGACTGCCGCATAGGCCGCGGAGCCCTCCCACGATGAGGTAGATGGCATCGTCGCGTAACCGAAGCTGCGTGGGTGCAGGCACAATCTGTTCCTGGGGTGTCAGTGGTCACCCGTAATCGAATGAAGAGGAAAAATGATGGGATTTGGTGTACTTACCGGCACGTTGGGATCGTTGTCCGGCGCCTCCCGCGAGGTAATGATCTTTCCTATATGTTCGCCTCCCCGCATGTACCGGATGGCCCCGGCGATGTCCCGGTAGGGGAAGACAGTGCGGGGCTCGATGGGCCTGATACTGCCAGAAGCAAGCAGCTCAAACATCTTGGACATGAGTCTAATAACCGAGCGTGAGGTTAGTGGATTGCTGTTCTTCAACATGACCTTAACTGTGGGAAGGAGGTTGGACTTACTGCGCCGTGATTTGTGGCGTCACACTGTCATGCGACATATCCAACGCGCGATAAGAGGCATTGCGATTGAAGGGCTCCATGGATAACGACCGCCGGCCAAGGATATCCTTCTTGCCAAGCTCGACGAGACACCCGCCAGCCGCGACAATGCGCCACGACTCGTCCAGCAGTCGGCCGGTCAGTGTGTTCAGGATGACGTCCACGCCACGGCCGCGTGTCGCCTCCCAAATGCGTGGGGGCGAGGCCGCCGTCCGCGAGGAGTATATACGCTCTGGTGGGATGTTATATTGCTGGGTCAGCACTGCGCGTTTTGCGTCGTTACCCACTGTGGCATAGATGTCGGCAACCATGGCCTGACAAATCTGAATGGCGGCCTGCCCGACGCCGCCAGCTGCGGAGTGAATAAGCACAGACTGGCCGCGCTGGAGGTTGGCCAGGTCGAAGAGGCCGCGGATCACGGACAAGTAGACGACCGGCAAGGAAGCAGCTTCCTCGAAGCTCATGCTGTCTGAGATGGCGTGTGCGCCCTGCACGGGGCATTGGACCTTGTTGCCAAAGCTACCACGGCGGTTGACGAGGACGCGCTGTCCGACGCGAAACGAGGTGACTCCCTTACCAAGCCGGCAGACCACACCAGCGCCCTCGAGGCCCAGAAGGTACGGATTTTCAGGCACGATCCCCAGGCAAGTCGTCACATCCTTGAAGTTAAGCCCCGCCGCATGCATCTCGACTTCAATAAAGTCATCCTGGAGAGGGACGGGGGAGCTGGAGACTTCGGCGAAGCAGAGCGATTGGAGCTTGCCCGGTTGTCGGCAGACCAGTCGCACACACGAGGGATGTTCGTGAAGGTTCTGGGTCTGCTGAGCTGGCGGATGAGCGGCGGCGGTGGTGATGGCGTCTTCTTTTTCGGCGTCTGCGTTCATCTGTGTGTCTGGGTAGACCCTGCTGACGTGCACCACCCCATCGCGCTCGACGAATTCGTGGTCCTGCTTCTGATGGCCCTGCTGAAGGGAGAAAATGGTCCGGCAGATTGCTTCCAGGGAGCCAGTGCTGACGGCGGATTTGACATCCAGCAGAGTGAAGTTCACGCAGGGGTCTTCGGCACGGATGACCCTTGACATGCCATAGGCCAGGGAGCAATCTGGATGTGTCACATCTAGTTGGGCGCCGCTTGTCACCCACAAAATCTTACAGCCCGACGCAGTGAGGTGCTGTATTGCCTGCCATTGTATGGGTGTCACCTCACTCAGGGTCGCCGAATAAACCTCGTCCACGATCACAACGACTGAGCTGGGCGCGATAGCCGCAGCGGGAAGGGGGAGGTGTTGCTCGCTCGGCGCTTTCCCGGCGATGACCAGCTGTTTTACTAGTGGCTCATTTTTCGGGGTGAGGTGAAGTACTATTACCTCTGAAGTCGTCGCAAGCGGAGGGGAGACAATGGTCTTGTCCGATGAAAGCTGAGCGAGAAATACCGTGTCCTCTGACAAGCTTTCCGGTGCAAGGGGAACCACTCGCTCGAAGCCTTGGCCACGCAGAAAGTCAAGAACTTGGGACAATGAACCTCCGACCATCGACCAGTTCGAGCTGCCAGAATCGCTGTCCTCACCGCTGATGACTGACGCGCTGCCTGTATCCTCCGTGAGATCGACCAGGGACGTTCCTAGAACCAACAGATAAGCTGTCGGTGTCATGGCCCGCCTGACATTAGCCAGCGCATTCGCCAAGTCAGCGCTAGAGACGGATCCCAGCTGAAGGATCGCCAAATCAAGCATGTCAGGTAGCATGGACAGATCCACATCAAGCTTGGTCACATCGAGCATGTTCATATGAGCCTGAGGGTATGTTTCTGACAGCAAGGCCTGCGAGGCACGCAGCGAAGCCAGGTTTTTCGGCATGAATTGGTATTTGCAATTTCCCCCCCCAAGGGACAGATCGCCGTAGAACATATCCCGGCCGACACTCTTCTCAAATGGCAGCGTGCTGAACTCCACCACTTGAAGGGAATGCTTCTCGTGAAGGAGGAGCTCCATAAGGGTCCACTGCTTTTGTGATGGCGATGACGGATCGTGTCATGGCCTGAGCTTTTGCAGCGAACGACGAGCCTGAATCAGGGTACGCATCTGCCCGTCGCTCAAGGTGGACATCTGCGGCTTCCAGTGCAAATGCATGAAGGTATGCTGCCTTTCAGGGAACTCGGGGCTAGCGTCGAGTTTGTGGTACCACAAGCCCGTGACCTTAAACAGTAGCCTTTTACTAGCCGGGTCAAAGACCTGTATATGTAAATGGTAGTTGTGGGCTTCCTTGGGGCTGCCCACTCCAGAGAACTCAGCTGAGGCTGCTGCAACCGCAACTGGCACTGCCGCAACGTCCCGGGCGTTGATGAGAAGATCATCTACCACGGCAGGCACCAGAGCACCGCCCACGGCGCTGCGGATGCCCTGCCACAGCGAGGCAGCTCCGGACTGAAGGCAGCCATCGATCGCCACGGGGGTGGATTGAGTAAGGCGACTGAGGGTAAGAAGACGGGGGCTCTGAAAAGGTAACCAAGCCTCGGTTGGTTCGCTGACCGGCCACGGCCTCGACCTCCAATTGTGACTGGAACGAAGGGCCAAATGAGTACCCAACATCCCGGAGGGCCTTGTACCAGGCTTGTGCGGGCATGGGGGTACTCCAATGGCTTAATCGCCCCCCAAGGAGCATCTAAGATGGATGGCAGAAGAGGGTTAGAAATGCGACCGTCGAACATCAGACATAGATGTATATGTATATATAAACAGGGAAAAACTCAGAGAAAAAACAAACGAGTAAACATACCTTCATCGTAAGAGGTCTCTAGCAAGATCATACCAGAGCAATGGCGGGTTGTGGTAGCGTCATTCATGTAGCGTTGATACAGTAAAATGGTGCCACGAATCCGCGCGTTCGTCTTCCGGGGTAAGGGTGAGCATGATGCGCTGGTCGGTGCCCTCCTCCAGGACCATCGCTTTTATAAATGTGACATTGCGAAGCCGGTACGCCACGTTATGAACCTGCAAGTTTTGGTCGATGAATCCTCGCGATTGACCCATCTGGAAGGCTGCCTCGACCGCCATGGCGATGTAGCCCGCTGCCGGGAAAAGCACCTGACCCCCAATGCGGTGGTCCAGCAGCCAAGTAAGCTCGGGCAGGCGCAGTAGCTTCTTCCACACCGGGGCCGTCCACGGGGTCCCTAGGACCTTGCCACCGAGCAGATCGTGGTTTGGGTATCGACGGAAGCGCCAATCCCGGCTGGCCTGGCTTTCCCACCAGTATTTGGTGGCATGGTTCCACATATAGTTCGGGAGATCAACAAGGACCGCAGGTTTGCTGTCGCGGGCACTATTGGCCCGGGCTGTGGCATTGACTTGATTGATATTGATCGAGCCGTCGGCCAGAAAGAGCCGTCCAGCCACGTCGAACAATGCAGTTGGCTCGAAAGCGTTTCGTCTGCAGGCGGCGTGGTAATCAATGCCAGCACCATTGGATGGCAATGCTTTGAGTATCTGCTTGACGGGTCCAGCCAGGGCCCCGCTGGGTCCTACTTCGATGAGGAAATCCACAGGATCCGCTTCGGTCAGCATAGCTTCTACTGCCTCGCTGAAGCGCACTGGTAATCTCATATTCGCTTCCCAATACGCGTTGTCCACGGAACCCTGCATCTCGCACCCTGTGACGGATGAAAAAAGCTTAGCACCACGGCGAAGCTGGAGACGACGACTCCGGCCCCCTTGCATCGTGGATCGCGAAGGGAGCAGCCACCGCCTATGTGATCATGGACGGCAGCCAGTACCTTATGCCGGCGACATTTCCGGGCTACAACGCAAGCGAGGTAAACGGCTTCATGCAGCCATTTGTGGCCCAGCTGCAGCGTCTAGCCGTCAACTACACGGTTTCGGTGAACTCATTTGATAATTACTACACCTTCTTCGACACCTTCTTTGGCCCCTTACCCGATGGCTCCTACACCAATGCACAGGTCCAGGGCGGCCGACTGATTCCACGCGAGGTGCTAATGTCGGCGGACTCCAACCGCGCCCTGACGGCGGCGTTGCGCGAGATCAGCTCCAACCGGGCATTCCGAATTATTGGCGTGGGCACAGATGTATCGCGGGGTGGCGATGTACCCAACGCGGTCTTCCCCGGCTGGCGCAAGGCCATTACCTGGATCGAATTAACTGCCGACTGGGATTTTACGCAGAGCTATGCCACCAACGTCGCAAACGAGACGCTGATCACAAATCGTTACGATCCGCTGCTGACGCAGGTGACGGGTCTGGCGAACAACAGTGGGGCATATCTAAACGAGGGGGACTTCCGGCAGAAGGACTTCCAGACGCAATTCTTTGGGGGCAATTATGCCTCGCTAAAGCAGGTCAAACACCGATATGACCCCGAGGGGGTGTTCTATGGCACCGCCCTGGTAGGCAGTGATGATTGGGAGGTCGCCAGTGATGGGCGCTTGTGCCGGAGTAGCGAGAGTAACTGAGAGATAGACAGGCAACCTTGTAATCACCATATGATGCTAATAGTCTAATAGACCTAATGCAGTGGGGTGGTGATATGATATAGTATTTATCTACCAGTAAAAATAGATCTTTGCGGCGATTCCTTCCGCTAGCCAAAATACAATACAGTTCAATACCACCTGTACGAACAATACGAACCCTATGTATGCCTTCTGTATCCGCCCCCAAACCCCCAAGAATCACTAGTTATAAGTGTCACCTAACAGTCAACTCTCCGATGCAGTGAAGAGGGGCTAAGTACAAGTGGGCCGCGAAATGAATCTCACTCAGGGTCTCAATACTAATCCTTTGATCTAGTAATCATTCCTCGGTTCGCAGTTTATTTTACTTTATTTGATCCAAGTGTTGTCCACCCATCTCACATCCACAATGCAAGAAGAAAAGCTATCTACCAATACTACAGCAGATGTCTCTCCCTCCTCTTATTCAGGGCCACTGCGCCCCTCCCTTTTCGTCTCTTTGCAATACCCTGACCGAGAATCTGCAAGCCGGGGAGGAGCTAGGCTTCAGCCTCAGCGTGACCGTCGGCAACGAAACGGTGGTCGATCTCTGGGGCGGATATGCGGACGCAGCGCGCACGCAGCCCTGGACTGCCGACACGATCACGTGCATTTTCTCCAGCTCCAAGGTCATCACCAACCTGGCAGCAAACATGCTGATTGACAGGGGCCTGCTGGACCCTTCGGCACCTGTGGCGCGCTATTGGCCCGAGTTTGCTGCCAATGGCAAGGAAACCATCCTCGTCAAGCATGTCCTGAGCCACACGGCGGGCCTGCCGGCTTGGGAGCTGCCCATCACGCTGGAGGAGATCTGCGACACCCCCGTGGCAACGGCCAAGCTGGCAGCGCAGCAACCGTGGTGGTCCCCGCCCGGTAGCCACCTGGGGTATCACCCGGCCACACAAGGCGTGCTTGTAGGCGAGCTGGTGCGCCGCATCACCGGCCAGTCGCTAGGGGCCTTTGTTCAATCTGAAATTGCCGAGCCGTTGGGGGCCGACTACCGCCTGGGGGTGCTCCCCGCCGATGAGGAAGGGGATCCCGCCCGTGTTGCTGAGATGGTACCGCAGCCGCAGATGCTCTCACTCGAGGGACTGGACCCGGCCAGCATTATGATGCGCACCACCATGGGGAGCCCCATCCCGCCCCAAGCTGTCAACGGGGCAGGTGCGCCGCTGCGTCGCACTGAACTGGGCGGTACCAATGGCTTCTCCAACGCTCGCGCTATGGCTCGCATCGGCTCCATGGTCGCCAACGGAGGTCAGCTTGACGGAAAGCGATTCCTCTCCCCCGAGACCATCAATCACATCCTGGAGCCACAGGTTGATGCTGTGGACTCGGTCATGGGCAAGCGAATGTCCTGGGGATTGGGCTGGGCCCTTCCTACCTCGGGTAACTCCTACGACTTGGTCACTGATGGGCGCGTGGCTTACTGGGAAGGTTGGGGCGGGTCTATCCTGATCATGGACCTTGATCGAAAGATGTGTATTGCATATGCAATGAACAAGATGGGCGCCAGCTTGGAGGGTGATAGCCGAACCCAGACCTATGTTAAGCAGATCTACCAAATTGTCCGTGACATGCAAGGTACCAAGATATAAGACTTTGATATGGAATTAATCTTAATATGATATCTTTTCTCCTTAGAATGTATATATCATCCAAGTCCATTCATAGCAGTATTTCCAAGCCACCGGGACTCTCTGCACCTTGTCAGTCATCAATAAAGTACACAGAGAAGTGGATGTTCCTTACTTTAGAGTAGATAACTTTTATCTTGACTTGAAATTAAGCCCATGTCTGTAGATAACTTTGAATCTTTCTGGTTTTGACTATTATAATCTGGAACTACTAGCTAGATATATATAAGAAGCAGTTACTGTACTTTTTATACTCACTACTCCTTATATATATACTTACATCATGATATAACTTATCAAGAAGATATATATATATATTCCTAACCCACTGGAGGTGGAATACTGGAGGTACAGCACAATTATATAAGAAGTCTATATAACCGGATTTCTTAGTAAAGAAAATGTGATAGAATGGAGAGGTCCGTAGCAGTCAGAATAATTCGAAGTAGTGCATTAGAAGCTACGTGTGGTGGTCTTGTAGATGGCGCGCAAGGAAGAGTGAGAGTACAGAAAACCCTATCCCGACATGATACATCAAGTAGCGGCTGCAACAGCAGCACATGCAAATACGCATGTCGCAGAACCACCCCGCAACTTTATTTTCCACGTGCACTATCAGTTAGTACTGACTGGGCAAGACTTTAAATGGGGGAAATGGTGAGTATATTGCCTATACCAATATTAGGACGGAGAGAAGTGCCAGCAATAATACTATGGCATGTAGAAATATATGCTTCAAACTGAAGGGTACATACTACAATGTGTCGGCTTCGAGACCAGCATATCTACTCCCGGGAGTGGCAGCTGGGTTAGCATAATTTGTCGCTGGGATATGTAGCATAAAGAATAGCCTCCTCTCACCGAACTAGCCCGGCTAGCTCAATCGGTAGAGCGTGAGACTCTTAATCTCAAGGCTGCGGGTTCGAGCCCCGCGTTGGGCTTTCTTTTTTCGTTCCCACATGTCTGCTTCAGGATGCGCTTGGGATCTCTTTTCTTTCATTTTCTCCTCATTTGTTTTCTTTTACAACCCGTTACCATATGTTAGTAACATAGGAGTAATATTTGTGAGCTGGAGATGGGTTTGCTATTATGAAAACATACTATTTTGTTTACCACTTTTGGAAGCCACGTCTTATGTCGGCGTCAACATACGACAATCATGACTCCTGGTGCTCATGATACGAATATGTAAGCACTGACATAGATACCTAAATATAAAGTCGAGCTAAATACTAAACGGAAGATCACTGTCAACAATGCACAATACATGGCGAAGCGTATAGATCATGAACACCAAGAACCGAAAGACAACTGGCCCTCCCTAGAATGATGCTCATTCCGGATCCACGATGGTTGAGCTTGACTCCCCCAGCATCATACTCCTTCCAGCCTTCTCTTCAGCCAAAACCCTGACTGTCTCCGTAAGCGAAATGACCTGTTCCTTCAATCGCATGATCTCCAAGGTGGTGCCGTCCACTTGAATATTTGGGGTAGATTCCCGTACGGTCTGGGTCCAGCTATCATCGAGATCAAAATCAACTTCCTCGACAGCGTGTTCCCATTCTTGCACGTCATCGTCGTCCTCTTCCCCGCGCCGACGGTTCCATCTAATGCGTCTTGCGTCACGCACTTCGAAGAACGCTGTGATAACGAGGATGGGTGAGTATATAACGCCCATGATGACATCGTTGAGCTTGGCATAGTATTGTCTTGGTAGCCACCACTCAAACGGGAGCACTAAGAATATAATCTCCAATAGATTGAAGGCTAGTTTAGGCGTTAGTCGTAGCTATCAGAAATAGTGCGCTAAACATACGAGGTATAAAGACGTTCTCATCCGGCGCACGAACGAACTGCATGGTCTTCTGAGCGAAGATGGCCATGTACTCGTCAATAGCATTTCCCGAGATATCCTCGTAAGCACTGTTGTAGAGTGCAATGAGAATATTCAGCAGAACTGGAGTAAATTCAATCAGCTTTTGAACCAAACATTAAACCCGAGGAATACCCACTGGTCATTACAACAAAGTTAAAAACGTAGTAAAGGATGATTCCAAATGGAAAGGCAAAGTCTTCAAACGTGCTGAACTCCGGGCTTTGCATGACGCTGTTCGCCATTCCTTGCACAATTCCTCTCACAATGGGAGTATCATCATCCACTTGAGCCATGCCGATGAATGCCTGAAAAAAGCCAGCAAGCACGACGAAGAGAAGGGCGAAGAAAATCAAGCTTTCCTTCATCATAACTCTCAAGACCACAAACATGGCACCGAAAAAGCGGAAGGAATCGAGATAGAGCATCATGCGCATCCAGAACATCGGCCCAGCAAAAGCCAAAAAGTTGTAGCTCAGTTCGTTCAAACTTTGTCTTTCCGCATCGTGAACAGATTGAGAATGCGCCAAGGCAGCCACACGCAGAAAGAAAGACACGGCGAGGATTGCGTATAGCGTAGAGTTGAAGGCATTCCAAAAGTCCAAGTAGTGCCAACCAACCTTCCAGAGTTTGGAAACTTCGTCGCAGATGAAGGCAAGGGTCATCACATAGAGGATCCCCTCCACGGCATCTAGATCACCGGTGGGATTCACTGTGTTAATAACTTGGGTGTAGAGTCCGAGATAAACGAGGGAGAAGAAAATCTGGCAAATGTTCTGATATAGAGGCGCCCTCATCCGATCTGGGTGGAAATGAACCGCAAAACTCGTGTTGTCCCTCTCCAGATAGGGAACGAAATTGGTTGGATTGCCCTCTTGCTGGCAGAACCATCCATTCCACAGGTATCTGATACACTTTTGATAGCCCGAGGAGCCAATGACCCTCAAAGCATGTAGATCGACAGCGCGCTCAATGACATTAGCCGGCATGGCCTCTCCACCATCAATGAAAATCGAGTACCGCTTAAGGAGAACATTGATTAGTAGATTGTCCTGATCTTCCTCGGTTTCAATGCTATATCAGCTTAATCAGCAAAGTCTCCTAAATCATGCTACGGGAGGGTGTATTACATTCTCTTCGCTATGACCTCACAAGCAAGGGCTCTGCGCTCATGTAAATCAGAATCCCAGAGCTCTTCCTGAGCCTGAAGCTTGAACCAACGCAGACAAACGAGGAGACAGAATGGAACGCAGGCCTGCAGGTCTTCGCCTCCTGCTAGACGGGCTGTCTGAATCACATTTCTTGTGATAACCCGACTATTCGGACTGACAATATCACTCTCATCTAGCTCGCAAGGGATAACTTGCTCCAGCTGGTACTTCAGACGAAGAGCGACTTTTGTCACCTCCTTAGAGGGTAAAGTAGAAGAGACCTGGTCATCTGTAAAGGCAGGAAGCACTATAAACCCTGTTAGCCGAGAGCATGTTGTAGAGCGGCTCCGCAATCAGATGACGTACATCGGTGTTGTTCCATATGCAGGCGGTGGCGGGTCCGCTCCGTGTCGGTGTTGAAGATATCTCGCCAGTGGCCCATTTTGAATGGCCCAAAGGAGTAGATCGGTTGGTAGAATAATAGAAACGGTCAGATTTTCACAAGCGCTGAAGGAAGACTCAGGAGGGAGACTTCAGAGCTACGGTCTACCTACTTGGTTAATGTTAAGTCTTCCAAGACTAACTCAGCCAGGCCGCGCGCCCCACTTCTTAGCCGCTCACCCAAACCACCAATGAAGGAGCCATCTTCAACGTGCAAACCATACAAGCGGTCAGGATACGAGTGTTACTGAGCAGCAGGGCGAAATGATCGACCTGCTCCTTGCAATTAATCCGGAAGAGAAGGGCTTATACATCAGTGTCTGAAACGGCCACTGGGGTTGAACCGTTCGTTGATCAAAGAAGCTTATGTACATCAGAAAGAGAGGGCTCCTGTTGGGCCAAAGCCACTCACCAACAGAGAGTCAAGCAACATCCACTGATCAACAATACAAGGGACAATGTGCATGTCATTATCACCTTATGGGAAAGAAAGGCCTCTGGATGGGATGAGGCCCTTCCGATCGTCTTCATACCCCGCCGATGATCTCGATTTCACCCGTCGCACATCGCACATTAAACCGTACTTGCGTCTCATAAATCGTGTCATGTCCAGAAACTCTATTGAACTTTTTTCCACACCCTACCCGACACACTTATATGATCGCCTTCAAACTTCAGTCTGCGATAACCCCCAACACCAGTTCGTGAAGCGTTCTGCTTGTTTCTCATGTCGCCGCCAAAGCGAATTCTCAAGCCTCACACGCTGTCGCTAAGCTCGCCGCGGGCAGTTTACTCAGGAACGCCCTCATCGCTCTCGGACATACTCTCGTCGCCGCTGACTTCCATGTTCTCACGCTCACGCTTCTCCATGAGCTCCTGGAGAGCAGCATCATCGTGCTCAGTAACAGCCTTGGGAGCCATCTTAACAATGCAACCACCGCCAGACTCCTTGATCTTGGCCTCGATCCTTTGAATGGCCTCCTCGAGCATCTGAATACCGATGGCCTTGTCCAAGCACTGGCTGGTCAAGACGTAAAGTGGCGGGGCAACCAGCTTAACCTTGATCTGGGTCTCGGCGGTGTTGTGGGCCTCGGCGGTGCGCAGGGCCTCCTTGACCGCATCGATGCCGTCGTAACCGAAGCAAGTAACCTCAATATCGGCACGGACCTTGGTCGGGTGAGGAGTAAGTCTCTTGCTGATGTAGTGCGTCAACTCCTTCTTCACGTTCTCGTTAGGGAATTCAACCTCGTTCCACACGTCGGGGTTCCTGTGATGATATGAGTATAATAATCCGCGAGAGTCTTTAATCTAGTGGTCCTTACGTGATGGAGATCTTGAACGCATCGTGGGAGTGTCCATATTTGCGGTTCAGGGGCCATCCGATCTGCTGGTATAGGGTCTCAAGAGGGGTCTGAGTGGCCTCGGCAACGTGGCGCATGATGGAGTGGACTGCCTTGCTCTTGTTGTATCTTTCCTCACACTTGACGACATCTTCAGGAGAAACTCGACGCTTGGAAAGATCGATATAACCTAAAGACGTAGAATAAACGAGTTAGTAAGTTGATGCTGATGTTATCATCCAGAGGACTCGGACTTGCCCTTCTCCTTGTCCACACGAAGCACGATGACGACCTCGTTACGGCCGATACGGATAAGCTTCTGGATACTGCGGATACGTCTGCGCGACAATTCGGAGAGCAGAATCATGCCGTCGATGTTGTCATACTCGAGGAGCTTAACGTATGCGCCCATTTCGGCGATCTGTGAGGGGTTGAGAGACGAGTGTTAGAGGGCGTTTTTGACCCCGAAAAGAACTGAATGACCTGTAGCAATGCATACCTGCTTCACGTTGACCATGACATAGCTGTCAACCTCCGGATACTTCTCCTCGTAGAAACGGCAATTTGTCAACGACATTTTCGGCGGGGTTGCGCCTTTTGCTAGGCAAAGCTTCGGAACTGTTCAAGAGTTGATGGAAGGCTTGAAATCGATAAGGTATCCGAGACAAGGTGGCCTCGAAATAATACCTGCGTAAGAGTGCTCGAAAGGATGTGAGGGAGTTGTGAGGTTGGAATGAAAGACTGCCACTATTGGGGATCACAAAGCACAATTCGAAAAACCCACTTTCGGCCTCGCGGTTGAGTCATCACGTGCAGGGCTCAAAAGACTCACCGCCCGGCAAAATGCGATAATGCATTGATTAGGCATATCCGTCTCCGCAGACTTAAGTTTAAAATGTGTATTGTCCCGTCAAGACTAAAAGTAATTCTACCGCTAAGATATCCAGTAACATTATTATTGGAATTTTATGGCAACTGCAGCGAATAATGTGCCCGAGCAAACAATATTGCACAATTGTTTTGAACCCTTTGTCTCCGTACGCCTGTTCAATGAATGGCTTAATAGTGCAATATCCCTCCAAGACCAGCGCTACGAGATGCTTTCTGTTTGTATACAAAATATCTGCTTGAACCTCTCAAAAGTGCAGCTCATCCATTCCTGTCAAGAAGCTTAGACTAGGGGCTTTTACGGAATAGTGGATATTGGCACGAGCTTGAAATTCATAGCTCTTCTTATTGACCAGACATATCATGCTGGGATAGAAGGAGTACTTGCATTAGAGTGAAGTATTGCGCAAAATGCTACTCAAATATCCCGTGCTATTTGAACTTTGCTTACACAGACTCAGAACTGAAGGTTGCTATTGATGAGAGCCATGACCTTGGTAGGAAGACCGCATAAGCTGAAGCGAACCAGTATAGAGGTGATCCCTGCTTCCACCCCCGAGCTGAAGTAGTAATGGAAGTTAGATAGGTCAGCTTACAGAATGATGTCACACTGTGAAACATATCACTGGAGTATTCAATGAAAATGATTAGTGAGATTTGGGGATGCCTAAGCATGACGCTTACGGTTGATGAGGACATCTGATTCAACAAACCCAAGCGGCATAGCTAAAGCCACCTCCTCAATAAAGATAGTAATATCAGAAAATGATGTATAGATGTTTTCGTTATCTTCTAACGTAATACAGATAATCCTAAAATTATGATGCTGATGCTAGTACTATACCTAAGCAAGTAACCACCTTAAAGTTCACTTAATGATTGAAGCAAGTGGTTACCTATATTTCTTGACGTGATAGCATGTCAGGACATAAAACACCCTGAATTTCCTTCAAATGATCAACGATAGACGTGACGACCAGTCGTTGGGTTTGAATTGGTACACCCGAAGCTGGACTTTTGGCTCAACCTCGAGGTTCAATGAGCATCGAGATAGGTAACTTTGAAAAGAGAAATAAAAAAAATAAAACCCAGCAGCCAATGACCTTACCTGCCACTACACACTACAACACTTTCCGAAGCCGAGAGAACTGCTCATCTGACCCTGCTAAGCAGGCATAGTCTTCTTCAAAGATTTTGTTGGCGCGATAGCCGCAGCAGATCCCTATTGCTGGGACTATCGTGTAACCTAGGTTATATTCTATACAGAGCCATGTGCAATGGCATTAGTGGCAGTGAAGCTTCATGACACATAGAAATCCCAGGATATGTGGACGGCATGGGTGTGAAATCACATTCACAATACGGTGGTTTGCTTTGCAGAAAAAACCTGACGCTAAACATCTTATATCCATCAACTCCTTCAACAGTTCTGGACAGTTGGCCTGGGCTATACTATGTAGAGACAGGAGGATTGCTGGTGCTCTTGATATCATTATATGAACTGACAAGTTATTAAAGCCCAAAAGGTACCATTATTCTTGGGAATACTTCGTCATTTTTTGTGACCAGAAGTCTCAAATAGCTTATTTGCTATTTTTGTTTCTTCTCTAGCCTTCCATCAAAATTCTGCTATTTGGAAAAAGTTTAGATAAGTCTCACTGGAATCCCTGACAAGACCGTTTGACTCACATATATTCTTACGAGCTATCAGTGAACCCCCATTGGTCTTCATAGTAGAACACCGGACACTCAAGAGGAAATCGACCTGATGACGACAATTTGCACAGCCATTTTTTCGTAACGCTAAGCCTTGATCCAAAGCAGTGTCAGGCTGAGTTTCAGCTACAGCAGGGAAGGTGTTCATGAGGCTCTGCCGCAACAATTTCAATGTGTATTCAGGCTTGACCAGGGAGTTTGATAGAAGAGTACTTGGACAGGTTTAAGAAGTAGTACAGGCTTCAATCAGGCATCCTCATAGCCCTGAACGCCTTTAAATCTACCCCTACCACCCGCTCTTGTCATGCTGCAGGTGGGGGCTTTCACTCTTCATTTCACTCTTCGTTTGATATCTCCCCAATGACAGCCGGTTCTGTCTGAAATTTGTGACGCGAGGATACCCTCAATAGCAGGAAACAGCAGCTAAACAGTCATTTAACCCGGACTTCGGTATGTACTGGCGGGGCATGGCCCTTGTCCACACCTGCCCGGCTGTCTGGCGTTCATAGCCCCCAACATCATTCACCAGAACTCTCCCCACTTATCGCAATGGCTATTTTATTACGTTCTATACTACTACTCTGGACTGCATCCAGCTTTGTCTTCGCCCAGAACGCCGCCACGGGGACCCAAGCAACAGAAAGGGTGGGGTGGGTCGCTAATGATACGACCCGAAGCACTTCTCAGATTATCTTCTGTTGCGTATCTATCTTTCTTGTCTGCTCCTGGGAATGTGTGCACCTGAATATACCAAGTATTGAAGAGAGCGAAGCAGGCTGGTATATGTACAGGGGCTGGCTGTATTACTGGCCCACAGCTCCTCTCCGACGAGTTTGGTACCGGAGAATGGGATGGGTGGCTTTGATTGCCATTGCCCCGGAGATCGGAGTGGTGGTAGCCTTCGAAGAGCTAATGGAGGCTAGGAAGACCTTTAGGAGATATAAGCATCTTGGTTTCACCATCCCCCACGCTATTTATGCCTGTATGGGTGGGTATCGGCTGGCCATTCCCCGAACCTTTCTCAATCAGGATGGTGACACTCGGGATGGTCCAACATTGATGGCCGGGTCTGTACAGGGAGACAACGAGAATCATCAAATTTCAGTGAAAGATACTATGGTCGAAAGGATGTTATATTATAGTTCTCAGCTGACCACCCTAGGTGAGAAACCAATACATAACTGTTTCGGAACCGGGACACTTAGCCTGACATATTGCAGAGATACTGAATGAACTAGGAATCTTTCCGGCCACTGAGGAAGCTTGCTTACAGGACCGAGGCCTTCCTCTAATGAAGAGGGAAGACATCCATAAGTTTTCGACATCAGATGCTGTTATCAAGGGGTTTGTTTGTCTTCAATGCGTATGGCTTATCAGTTTGAACGTCACGCGTGCGGTTGCGGGTCTGCCCATCAGCTAGCTTGAGCTGATGACACTGGCATTTAATTTTTGTGCCCTGATAATGTACGGCTTGTGGTGGTATAAGCCGTTTGGAGTCCAACGTGCCACCCTCATCCTCCCTCTTCAGGAGAAAGCAAGAGCTCTGTATGATAGGGTGGGGCCACCGAGCACTGAGGGGAGAAGTCAGGGAGTAGGTAATGTGGTTGAGACCTGGCTGGGTTTGCCTCGTTTTTCCTTATTCGATCCTTTCGACTGGAGAAGTGAGTATAATGAGCCAAGATCCATAATCTGCAAACTCACCTCTCTGGTACTCTCTGGTTTCTACCTTGTTGCCTGGAACTGGGACATCCCATCAGACACGACCCCCATGCTCTGGCGCATCTTTAGTCTGACTGCAACAGGAGCCCCTTTGGTCCTAATGAGCTTGTTTACTATGCGACGGGCTCCAGGATGAGATATAGGGCGGCTCTGAAGGTGGCGATGTATGGAATGAGTATCATCTAGGCTTGATCGTTTTAAATTTTTATTATTTCTCTTTGATGCCGGCCGCTGTCTACAAGACAGAGCAATGGTGTCATTTCTTTGCCCATTTTCTTAACATAGTTTCGAGAAAGATAGATTCAGACAATAAGCTCCATTCAAATCGAGACATCGACTAAGGCATAAGTCCAGCTTCATAGAGGTCTTCTTATCTCATTTGCCCGATGGCCGCTATTGTTGTACGTAGTTAGTAATGGAAGTAGAAGTCCACTGGGATCATCGGGCTGGATGGTCCGTGCTACAGGCCCACCAATCAGTTATTAAGCGAAACCCCAAGATTGGCCGAATTCATCATCATTTGCAGAACAACTCATCTTCGAGGGACTGAGCATATTGTAGCGCACTCATCTGGCGGGGCCTGGATCTACTCCGTACACTAGTGGTCAATTACCAGAACGTAATTTGGATGGTGGTGGCCATTGCAGAGCCTGGTAGAACAACGACCCTCTGGGTATAAGGCAACCAATTGTGTAAGCATTACATGCAGATTGCTTGTGTAACATTCTCAGTTGGATGCCATTCTTGTATTTCATGTATTAATAATTAAAATATTAAGTATCCCAGGCACTATTGGATTACTCAAATCAATTACAGACAGAGGGCATCATCACATACCGGAATGGGATAAAGGGAGAACAAAGAAAGTTATGTAAGCCAGGAGTGGGTTGTTCTCCAGTTTTTAAGTAATGTTTATCTTCAGGGTCCGAACGTCATCGACGCCTGTCTCTACTTTCTGCCAGATCGGAGAGAGATAGAGAGAGAGCTTGCAGGGTAAAACTCTGCCCGTGCATCAGCCTTGCAAAATAAAAGATCTTGGTATTCAGAACTTTCAGTTCCACCGCCAATCAGGGCCTGCTTGCCTCGTCCGAAAACTTACGATTCCGCTAACTAACGATGGACTTATCTTAGCCAACAGCCACCGCTCCTTGCGCTAGCAATCGTGTCTCGCAAATCGCTCAACCACAACTGTGCTTCCTTTTTCCCCGCCCCCCCATCTTACCTCGCCGCTGAAGTCGCCATTCCTTATGGCGTTTTCTGCGACATTATAGCGTGCATTGTCTGTTTGATTCGATCGTGCTTTTCACTCCGGGTTTCTCCGAATCAACATGACCGATCCCAATCCGCAGGGCGGACATCTCGAACACCGCTCTTTGCGGGACTGGCTTGCGGGCTTCTTCCGAGCACCTCTGTCAAACAGCTCTGCAGATCCTCCGCCTGAACGGGTTCCCGAGACTTTAGAACCGAATGATAGAACTCGCTTGTTGAAATTGGACGATGGTCAAGGAGGTCCCGCATACGGTACGAGAGATGGTTTATCGACGCCGCAGGTTGACGGTGGCCCTGAAGGACATATTCGGAATGGGAACGGAAATCCAACATTTGTACAAGGACCGGAGAACCTGCCTCCCAGGACTGGGTCGGGTCTGGCATGGCCTGTGAAGAACCATAAGACGATGTAGGTTTGGACTATACAGCCTCTCGGCTTTGGATTCAGGACGAAACGACTGATTGAGGCACAGGTACCTCTCATACTACATCCCGTTCTTCAACTGGATCACACAATATCGCTGGTCTTTCCTCCGAGGCGACTTGATCGCAGCCTTGACAATCGCATCAATCTATATTCCCATGGCGCTATCTTTGGCTTCAAACCTCGCCCACGCGCCAGCAATCAACGGCCTGTACTCATTCGTTTTTATGCCACTGCTCTATGCAATCCTGGGAAGCAGTCCTCTGCTCGTTGTTGGTCCGGAAGCAGCTGGGTCGCTGTTGACAGGAACAATCGTTAAAACTAGCGTTAAACAAGGCCACTCGCAGGAGGACGATGAGGCCGCAAGCGCAATGGTTGTAGGCATAGCCACTGCCATGGCAGGAGCCATGATACTAGTCGCTGGACTGACTAGGCTGGGTTTCCTGGATAATGTACTCAGTCGACCTTTTCTGAGAGGTTTCATCACTGCCATTGGCTTTGTCATCTTTGTTGATCAGCTCATCCCGGAGGTTGGATTGGCAGATTTGGCCAAAGAGGCCGGTGTCAGCCATGGCAGCACAGTGCAGAAGCTTGTCTTCCTCGCTGAGAATATCAAGAACTGTCATGGTCTTACAGCTGCTGTCTCCTTCGGTAGCTTTGCAATTATCATGCTTTTTCGGTATGTACCAAGACCCCACCAAGCCCATAAAAGGAAATACATCATCGCTGACCCTGCGCCCACAGGACAATCAAAAAAGCACTGGAACCACGATACCCTCAGGTCGTCTACTTTCCTGACCGTATCCTTGTTGTGATCCTCTCGGCCATCCTGACCTGGCGTCTTGGATGGTACGAGCAGGGGCTGGAAGTTCTAGGCTCAGTCCAGAACACGGCCACTGGGCTCTTCGCATTCAGGTGGCCCTTCCAACTCAAACATTTGCAACATGTGCGCACCGCAATGAGCACCTCGTTCATCATTGCTATCCTTGGCTTCTTCGAGTCCTCAGTTGCCGCCAAGGGCCTTGGGGAGAGACGAGACGGTGTCCAAGGCATGTCTGTCAGTGCGAACAGGGAGATGGTTGCTCTGGGCGTTGCTAATGTGGTTGGGGGCTGCTTTATGGCTCTCCCTGCCTTTGGCGGATACGGACGGAGTAAAGTCAACGCTTCTACGGGAGCACGCTCCCCTATGAGCAGTATCTTCCTCAGTGTTATCACCTTCGTTGTTATTATGGTGCTTTTGCCATATTTATATTATCTTCCTGTGGGTTTTTTTTTTTTTTTTTTTTTTTTTTTTTCCTCCAATCCCCGAGTATTACTGGGTAAGACATGTGCTGATATCCGCCACAGAAAGCTGTCCTATGCTCTACGATATCGGTCGTCGCATACAGTCTTATAGAGGAATGTCCCCACGACGTCGCCTTCTTCATCCGGCTGCGTGGTTGGACAGAGCTTGCATTGATGCTTCTCATCTTCGTCTCCACTATATTTTACTCGCTGGAGCTGGGTATCGCGCTTGGCATTGGGCTCTCAATTTTGATCCTAATCCGTCACTCCACCCAGCCTCGCATTCAAATTCTCGGGAAAATAGCTGGGACATCCGACCAATACGACAACGCCGAAATGCACGCAGAAAATGTGGAGCTCATTGACGGCGCCCTTGTTGTTAAGATCCCCGAGCCGCTCACCTTCGCCAACACTGGCGATCTCAAGAATCGCTTGCGCCGTCTTGAGTTCTACGGCTCCAATAGCGCACACCCGTCCCTTCCACGCTTGCGGCCCCCAGAGTCGAACAAGAACGTCATCTTTGACGTTCACGGTGTCACGAGCATCGATGGCTCCGGTACGCAGGTCCTCTCCGAGATTGTGAATGATTACATCAATCTCGGAGTAAGCGTTTACTTCTGTCGCCTTTCGAATCGCAGCGTTTTCCGCATGTTCGAAAGAAGCGGCATAGTCGACCGATGCGGAGGCATGTCTCATTTTGTCCCTGGAGTCGATGAGGCGCTTCGGCTCGCTGAATCCGAAGGCCGTACATCGGAACCTTGAAGGTTCAACCACAAGTGAAGCCCGGCGCTTCTCTCATATAGGTGTGCTACCTGGTCATGATCCGAACTTGTAAACGATTCACGACATTGCACGATACAAGACAGACGTTTAGAATGTATAGTCCCAGCATCCGTTAGATATGTTGTTGGTAGCATTTGAAATCAGTATCATCAGCGATTTTCTTCGGTGTGCGCTTGTCCATGCAGATCCTTGTAGTCCTGATTCATTAGGGTTTCTGGTCCTTGTCCTCGTTCATCTCAGCTCTGCGCAGTATATCGGAAAGTAACACCTCACAAGCACGTAATGCAAGATGATTACTCCGACCAGCCGCGGTATCCGAGTCGCCGTTCTCGCCAGCTGGTGTCGACGCAACCAGCTTTAGCTTCCCATCTCCACCGAGCACGAATCCCCCACAAGCGATCCGCGCAAGACGCACATGATCTTGTCCCTTGAGGGTGGGCTCCGTTTTTCCACCGGTCAAATCAAACTTCATCGCCAAATGCTCCTCAAGGTATGCACTAAGCACAGCCAGCACGTCCGACTCACTTCCGTCTCCGTTATTTCCAGCACCAAGGAACCCGCTCAACGACTCTCGCGGTACCGTGATGTTCAAAGTACGTAAATCCGGCGCAGCAAAGGCAGGGAACGATAGCGTGAGATGAAGCTCTTTGACAATCTCGACTGCGTTCATAGGGCCGGATCCATCTTCGGAGTTCAATGTGTTTATGTATGTGTTCAAAGCTGTGCCTATAAATCGCGAGGGGAGGCGAAGCGGAGAACAGTACGTGTCGAAGGTCGAAGAGAGAAAGGAGACGAAAGTTTGTCGGAGAGGAGCAGGAAATCGAGTTAGAAGGAGCGGTAGGTGCGTAGCATGTGTTTGAGTCTGGGAGCGGGTTCGACGAGTGCGAGGTTTCGGAGTGGTTTCGGTTTGGATTGTAGGAAGAGAGGACAAGCTGAGAAGAGCTGCTTTGTATGTTGCGTTCTCGTACTCTAGCTTCACGAGGATTCCACTGCCCTCTTTGGAGGACGTATGTGAGGCTGGTGCTGAGCGTTGAGTCCGCGCTCGGGATCGAGGTCCGTTCGACGTCTGAGACCCATTTTCAGGGTCGCGTTCGTGTTCAATGTCTGAGAATGAGAGACTGGGTATGGGTTCCCAGGTGCAGGATTGCAGCGCGCCGGTTCGGGAGAGGGTATCGTCGTCTGTTGTGGGCAGTGGACCGGTGGATTGGAGGGCAATCGGAAAGGAGGCTGCGGTTACTTGATCGCGTAGTCGGGTCGCGTAGAACTTCAGAGCCGCGGGGTTGTTGACAAGGCTGTCGAAGTCTCTTCCGTGGTGGAGAGGGGAGAGACGGTGGAGTGTCCATGAGGTGTTTAGTAGGCTTGTTTGCATCATTGTGGTATCGTGAGGCTGGTTGAAGGTGTTTGATGCATACGAAGGGATGGTATATCACATTCATCACATATGGTGTTAGTATAGCACAATTGGAAGAGATGCTCCCTTGGGAGCTTGTCGATCAGTAAATGATGCGGCAGCTGTTTACATGGTCGGGAGAGCAGAATGCCCGCGGCGCGACTATCTCTCTAATCGATGCATCTTATCAAACAAACAATGCAAACATCTTCTCCCAGAAAGGTAGCATAGGGCATAGGGCTAGTTTACATTGGAATGAGGAATGCATACTTGTTACAGTTTGATGGACCAATACCAAGATAATAGAAATCTCCATTCATTTGTAGTAGCCGCTGCAAAATTTGTTATGTCAAAAGAGTAACACCTAGACGAGCAAAGAGCTCATGCCATGAAGATGGATATATTCTTCGCCATGGAGTACACCAAAACCCCTATGAAACGCCTTGCCTTGTGAATGCAAAGAATGCAATGCTTGCTAAACTGACAGAATGCATTATGCACGCCATCCATCTGGAATTCGACAGTCTTGGCAGCTGAACAGGACAGGCAACCCTGTCCAAACCATGACGCGCTCTGCATGATGCGGCGCCGCCTTTCTTAGAGCCAATTCCTCCTTCACAACATCGAACCAGACATCTTCCACGGAACCATGCAAATGCACGTTCGGGACATTCTGGAAGACCAACATGTTGATGTCGTCCTTTTCATTTAGGGTGATATCGTTATGAAAATTGTGCATGAAGTCCTTTCGCTGCATCCGCTGATTGCCGCCATCTCCGATTTCAGCGGAGAAGTACTCCACTATTCGGAGGAATGGCGACACTGTAAGCAAGGATCCAATCCAACTGTCATCCGAAACTGTAGGCTCATCCGGTGGTACAGTATACCGCAAGTATGAGACTAGAAGTTGCATGCAGTGATGCGTGGCTATGAGGGTAGGGGTGTCAGTAAAAGGAGGTGATCTGATTATCTTTACTTGCAAGTCCCGGTACATGGCTCTACGGATGTGTGGGGGTACAGGAACTGGCAAGCGTCCAGCTTCCCAGTCACGCAGGAGAACATTAGTCTGCTCTCGCCTGGCAAGAGCATATGTCTCAAGGAAGTATAGAGCATAATACCTGTATGAAGAGGAGTGCGTTAGAGATGCACTAAAGGGGACGACTGGGAGGCCAATACTTACATGAGTGGAGTGAGATGAAACCATAAGCGCGCAGTCGTCCTTTGCACGAAGACGCAGCGATCGGCTTTGGAAGCAAACATGGATTTCATGAACGCCGGTTCGCTGTGCACAAACCGGTCCATGACACGGTCCGCGAGGTAGCAGCAAAGTCTTGTACAAAGCGTCTGCCGGCGACGCAGGCCGGATATATACTTGAAAGTGTATATGTGGCCACCCTTAGCGCTCTTCGCGGGTGGAAACAAATCTGATAGCAATACTGCATCATCCTCCGGGTTCCGAGTATAGGTCCTTTCGCTATCTATCGGGGAGGGGAGTGTTCCATGGCGACGTTGACGGAGGTATTGCCGGGTGATCCATTGTTCCTGCGAGTTAAGCAGTAGATAGAATGATTTGCAGACAAGCTTTAAGGGCAGAAAGTCCGTGACACCGCAGTGGGCGAATATCTTGATCTGAATCTCGACTGGGAGGAGATCCCAGGGGGAAGACGTCGGAACTAGCTCCACACTATGAATGTACAACACGTAGATTAGCGATGGACATGCCTTACGTTTTGAGCATAGAACACGGGATGCGATGAGGGGCACACAACGTACACTGACGAGGACACTGATGATGAGCCTGCAGCATGCTTGGACAGATTATTCTTCTTGGCATCCGACTTCCTTCCTCTGTAATTGATGACAGCGCGCGCCTTCTTTGCCTGTAGCACCAAGTTGTGGAACGAACTCATCGTCAATCTCCAAAAGGCATGGGGAGACCAGCTCCGGCTTGAGGAACAGGAGGGAAATGCTTGTCACCATGCAAATCCCCTGGTCAGTCTTCTCGTCGATCGATTTTCAGGGATTCTCCGCTTGCGCCTTTTCGGGTTCAGGGTAGATGACTAAGCAGGGCTGAGCAATTGTTGCTATTTTAGAAGAAACTCCAAGCATTGAAAGGTCAGATGCGGGGTTCCTGCAATGCCCAGAATAATTGGTTGTGTACAATGGCAAGGACAAAGGGGCGGGCGTCAAAAATGGAGCAATAGTGGTGGGAGGAAGGAGGAGTGCGCTCATCTGAAACCGAATCGGGGCTATCAGTCTGCTAATTTGCGGCTGGCTTTGCTCTCGTTCTGCTTTTTAAGGACATTGAGCTTTCTGACTTATTCCACTAAGTATGACATCTCCTAAAGCTTCCATACTTCAAGGACGCGCCAGTTTACTACGGAATGAAGTAGAATAACTAAATTATCTAATGAACGTTGTATCACGCCAATTTTGATACATTCGTTTCAATGAAGACTGCAGAACTCGATCTTACGTCATCTTAAAACAGGGGTACTCCATTCTGTACCTGCTGGATTGGTTGAAGTGCGTACCCCGGGGCCCAGGCCATAGTGGCCTTAGGCCTGGATTCGCGACATTGTGCGACATGTCACTAATCGAAACGCCCCAGAGGGCTTTGAATATTGACGCCAAAGGGCTGGCGAGACTATCAACTCGAAAAACGCAAAAGGGAGACGTTAGCCCAATTTCCTTTTCTCTGCGTCAATAATGAAGATTCCATTGTATCTTATAAGATCTATTTGAGTTACGATGTCTACCCAAGTCAGGCGAGCGCCCCTGTCTCAAAATGTGACCTCTAGAAACAAAATTAACTTGATAGACTAACAGGGAAAGATGGGACAAACAAGGCTGAAGGATTCTAAAAAAAAAAAAGCGGCGGGAAAAAAAAAAAGAAAAGAAAAAAAAAACGATGAGAAAAAGATGTGCATCATCCGTGAATCGAACACGGGCCTCATCGATGGCAACGATGAATTCTACCACTAGACCAATGATGCTCTTGTACGTAAATTACCTCATATTTTGATATTATTACCGGCTTTGAAAGCTTCATGTGTAGCTGCGATCTAGACCCTACAACTTCGATCACGAAGCATAGTCTAGTTGACCCTGTAGTACACCATAGTAAGACATTGGTAATCTCGCCTTTGTCCTAACAATAAATAGCTACACTTGTCTAAGCTACACAGAATAAACAAGATCCTGCAGAATGCATGATCTGGTGCAAGCTATCGGGGCTTCCTATCTTCCGAAGAAGCGCCAACATTCAAGGACCCGCTCTTACCAATGGGCAGTTACATTGTAAGTTGAATGATTATCACTGACGCAATATGTCAAATTCATAGGAGAGAAGGATGAGGCCGCATACTGGACCTTAAGCCGAAACTCGGACTCAGCGTGTCTACACCAATTTCCTGTTGTGGTAATGATAACACTTCAACGGAAGTATGCGCGCCGACGGAGGTATGCAAAGGACCCACCGGCTAATTTGAGGGTCCCTGGCGGAATTGCCTGATTTATCTGTGATTGACAGACATACTTGCTGTGTAGATAGTAGTACAGTAGTCACCACGCTTGAAGTTGTTGTTGTCCTTTACATAACGACAACAGCTTATGAATGAGATACTCTCATCCAGACCCTACAGTAGTTCCTATGAGCTATTTATGGGTGGCCGGGTGGTGTAGTGGTAGGCATCCTGCATGACACTCTGGTCGATGCTTAAGTAAATAGTGTGGTAGGTTTGATTCCCATGACTGTTGGATACTGACCATGCGAAAGAAGAGGTTTGTTAATGAAAAATATGCCCAGTGCCCGGGGAGGAGGGTAAGTATATTCAACCAAATCTAGGGAGGCTACAAACAGCTTGATCCTTATATATATCACCTCCCTTCGCTGTCTATATACCGAGTATGGTGAGAACTTTGTAGGTTTCTATCTCTCTGAGGGTGTATTCTTTATAATCTTTACACCCATACATAAATCAGCCTACAAAACCGGGAAGGATAGGACAATAGTCCTATACTAGAACGTACATGAAGACATACCGCCCGTATCTAGTTAGATAGATAACTGCGCGCGCGTTTTACGGAAGGATCTCTCTTCTTCTGCTTGTTAGCAACTCAGCAAGAGCACCCTGGCCGTGCTGAGTTCGAGTATAAGTTCCTCTGTCTCTCTTTGAGCTACTTAACTCATGAATCAGGTGTAAGAGATGATTCTCGGAAGTATGGTAACATGGTGATTGGCCTCCCTCTCGATCGCCCAGTGCCGGGTCAGTTGAGCCTTGGCCCACAATATGCAAAGGAAGCACTGCCTCAGTGCGCCCGATTACTTGGCGCTAAATAGGTGGTGGGGGCCCGTGAGCCCTTATTCTGCCCATAAGAGCCTCACCGTAGATCGACGGAGGTGCCAATTAAGAGCAAGACTGTCACAAGCTCTTTGTCTATCGGATCATTTATGCCGAGCAGAAGTATAGCGCAAGTAGGGCGCATACTATATTTTACGGGTCAAGAGTGATGTTGTCATCCCCTGTGTAACGGTAAGCACCACCATTGTATTTGGGGTGATTGCACAGCACAAACCTAATCCTTCGCCTGCTGATCTCAACACGAGATCGCCGACCGAAGTGTCGGAGAGGGCTGTGAGCTTTAGAGCCATGGGTCAACCCGGCGGGATCTTGGTCACTAGAAACCAGATGGAAAGACCGAAGAGCTCACGTGGATGTTGACAGGACGGTACTACGATGCCGGGGCAACGACAGGGAGAGAAAGGTATGCTTGCCAGGTTGATCAAAGCACATTGAATTTAACTGAGTGGTCCCATCCATATGCTGCCCTATCGTGCTAGTAACCCCAATCCTTAGTATGGTTGGTGGAAGGAACTTATGTGGTTCGCCTGCTTGCCGCATAGCCGTCTTCGTCTTCTAGAATGATGTAATTTGCATGATTAGCAGCGTAGCGTCGAAATATCAGAGGTGAGTTCCAATTCTTAGCGCGTTTAGTACTTCCTCTCTGGCACGCGCCTTTCGGCCTCGGGCACAGTCTAAGACATTGGCGCAGATTGGTCCGTCGTCGTTGACCGTAAGCGTGGCAGAGTCTGGATAAGTGAGAGAATCAGGAGTATCCTCAGCGACAAAACTGCACTATATGGACGGATTGGGGCCTTCTAAGTTGCTCAGCCTTGGGAGGCGGAGTAAGAGCTCCTGAGTGGTTCCAACAACAAGTAGTAAATTTACAGCTGGCGGGCGGGAAGCCTCAGGGATCAAGGACACGAGGCGTCCAGAAGGAATGGGCTAAGAAGAGGGTCCAACTTAGGAACCAAGCAGCCAAGACGCCCCCCAAAAGGTCCCATAGGACCAAAACTAGCGACCCACAGCCACCGCTGCGGAGAACATGTGAGTTGAGTTCACAGTAGATGTAGGATGTGAGTAGTTCATTGTGTTAGCTACCCTACGGGAAGCCTGCCGTCGAGTGGTTGAGTCGTGAAACTAAGGTTGCAGCTGGTCAGTGGTATTTAATTCCCCTCACTCCCCTCTTCCGATGTCATATTTCTAAATCCCTCTCAATCAGTTCATCATTCCGACTGCTAGTTTCTATCAATATTTGCCGTTGCAGCTGTGAACCCTTCTCAGCGCACCCTGTTTATCTCTCTCGTTGGCTTCAAATAATTGCTATTCCGTTCCCCTGCGAGCTTAGGTTACCGTTCTAATCCGATTACCGCTACACACTGTACACTACTCTACGACCTGCAATTTCTCCTACCAGTAGCTGAAAATGTCAGCCGAAAGAAGCGCAGATGTCAACGGCAAGGCGCCAGCCCAGCAACCTACTAACCCTGCCCGCGCACCTGGTGCGGGTCTGGTTCATGTGCAACCAGCTCGCTTGGACGATCTGCAACCTAAGTATGCGCAGCAAATCCAGCACGGTGAAGATAACCCCGATGCGCATGGATGGTACGCTTCATTCAGTGAGTTTCGACCTTGACCTATATTACACCGTCAAAGCTCTTTTGGTCTAACGGACCTTTGTCGCTATTAGTTCACGGACTTGGTGAATGTCTTGGTTGCCTGGGTGCCATTCCATGCTGTTTCTGCTGCCCCAACCCCTTCAAACCAGTCGCGCAGGGTGAAGTCGGCCTGATCACTAGATTCGGAAGGTTCGTGAACCCCCACGACGATCACTCTAGAATATATGTCCTGATTGATGTTCTTCCAGATTCGAACGTTCCGTCGATCCCGGTCTGGTCAAAGTGAACCCACTGAGCGAGCATCTTACAGCGGTGGATGTTAAGATCCAGATCGTCGAAGTGCCCCGTCAGAGCTGCATGACCAAGGACAATGTCAACCTGAACCTCAGTTCCGTGATCTACTACCAGATCGTTTCTCCTCACAAAGCCGCATTTGGTATTTCCAATGTCCGCCAGGCACTCGTGGAGCGTACTCAGACTACACTGCGTCATGTCATCGGCGCAAGAGTTCTGCAGGACGTTATTGAACGCCGTGAAGAGATCGCTCAGTCGACTTCAGAGATAATCGAGGACGTTGCTGGTGGATGGGGTGTCCAGGTTGAGTCCATGCTCATCAAGGACATCATCTTTAGCGAAGACTTGCAGGACTCTCTTTCTATGGCTGCGCAGTCGAAGCGTATCGGTGAAAGTAAGGTTATTGCTGCTCGTGCTGAAGTCGAGTCGGCCAAATTGATGCGTCAGGTAAATATTCCATTTCATCAAAGTACTCGACATGAGCTAACTCTCCATTTTAGGCCGCTGATATCTTGTCCTCTGCACCTGCGATGCAAATCCGCTATCTCGAGGCGATGCAAGCCATGGCCAAGACAGCCAACAGCAAAGTCATCTTTTTGCCGGCAATGAACCAGACTGTGCAGCAACAAATGGCCGCGGCAGAGAATGCTGGCGAAGGCCCTAGTCGATACCAACAGCCTGATGATGGCTTCCAGCGTGCAATGAATGCGCGCGTGGTCGAAAACATCTAGGTGCGGTGTGCCACATGATTTGATGGCTTGATAGCGCTGGAGAGGACCATTGCCTGGTTTCTGATGAGAATATGCTAATGACGCTGAACAATATCTATGTATTTGGAGACACCACAAGGCCGGATAGCCTTGTGTCTTTCCACTCGCTTGTTCCCCATTTTTGCTTGGGGTCCTATCTGGCTTTGACGATACCCACATTCTTTTGTT